GCAAAAGAGGCTCTTTTAAAACACTTTAAATGAAGTACATCACATGCCACATCTGAAATGCGAGAAATACTTGTTATTAATAATGGGGGCATTCATATTCTTATAGCCAATTACAGCGCCGTGGGCTTTTGGCGGCCCAGGGAACTAGTTCGGCCACTGTTTAAAAATCACAATTCTAAGCTTTATTTGAAAAATTTTTGTATTCTGAAAGACACTATGTAATATGATAAGATTTAATGGATTTTAATCATAAATATGAGTAACACATATTTAAAAAAAATAAATAGGGTGCATGTACCACGTATATAATCACAGGCTTATAATAATCATTAAAACTAAAAAATAGTAATTAAAACATTTATACTCGACTTTCTCTTTTATATTTAAAAAAGGATATTATACCAAATAAAGATGCAATGTAATTTTCGATTGAAATTAGGGATAGGTTTACGCGGCGATTTTGCACCATGCAGGATTTAAGTAAGTCTTAATTTGTTTGTGAAGCTGTGTTCAACCGATGCGACGGTAAGAATACTTAGAAAAATTCTCAAAACAGATATATTTGACAGGGCTTCATTTGGACTATTAGTGCAAATATATTTTAAGATTTCTAATGCTCTTCTTACATAATATATTTTTTAGAATAATTCAGTTATTAGGAGAGACCGGGGATCTTATGAGTTCGAGGTTCTTGTGAGCTTTGGGGTTCTCTTCTAGAGTACTCAACATATAAAATTTTATTTTAATTATCCAATAACTATTTTATATAAAAAATTAAACCCTATTCTACAATAAAAGTACTCTTTATTTAAACAAAAAAAATGTTTAAACTACCACAAAATTAAATTTTAAAAATTTAAGGGTATGGGACTACTTTTCATAAGTTCATATGAGCTTTTGAGAGTTATTTTTAGAATTCATTTTTGATTATTGAAATTTGAATATGGTAAGAAATTATATTAGAGAAAAGAAACAACTAACAACTGATAAAATCATTAATATATTTAATAAAAAATCCGTCCTTGCTAACCATTATGGAGAAAACAATTGTCTTGTTGCAGACAATTTAAAATCTTGTTTCATTAATCTGCAAGAAACTATATTATACAATTATCTAATAAATGTATCTAAAATGTTCATGAGTCTCTTGCACACGTAAGAGCTCTTTTTGAGCACATGGATGGATTATGGATTCTGTTGCAATTTTATAATCCATTCTTTATTTGTTTGAATTGTCAATAAATTTCAACGAATATTTATAATTTTCCATTGTGGTTGCAATCATATCATTTTTATATTTTAAAGTAAACAATATTTGCAACTTAAAGGCGTCTAGTGGGAAAACTCAACCTTTTCCGGGTGTAGCTCATCCTTTCCCAAATTTTTTTTTGCAAATATTAATACTGTTAAAAGATTATAATGCTTTTTTAAAATTTATGCAGAGCACGAAAGTAAATAAGTGGGATAAAATGAGATACTATTTATTCATTATTATCAGATACTTTTAATTTTATTGTAAGTGACGAGTAAGGTAAAAAAAAATAGTGTTAGTATGTTACTTTTCCCCAATAGTAACGGCCGTCACCTTAATTTTTTGGAACAAATTAAAACTACTTCTTGCTCAAAATACTCATTTATATATATTTTTTTAAATTGGGCTAATCAAAATTGATTAAAAAGCGATATCTCAAAAAAGCACTCATGAAAATTAAGCTAAATTTGGTGTACATGTTTAGCCGAAATTATTATGCTACTGAAAAATTCAAACATTCATACTTATAGGATTCAATAAAAAAAATTTAAAAATACTCTAGGATCTGTATATAAATGCTCAGGCCCACAATGGTTAATAATTATTTTCATAATTAGGTAATGATATATGACGTTAGACCACTTGTTAAACAACGTCCAAAATTTATCAAAATGCAATAAGACTCATTTATTTTTTAATATATATTGACGGAATCACGTGGTCAAGTCCAATCTAATATATATCATCTCCCAAGAACGAAGCCACCAAGTTGGCTTAAGAAAAATACATGATCCTTACTGGATTCTAACCCAGAACCATTGGATTGTGATACAAGTACTGAACTTATTCTCAAAATTATAAAAAAAAATTCTATATAAGGATAAAATTACAACGCTATCTAATATTTTAATAAAACACATTGAAAATCAATGTTCAAGCGCAAACGCTTTAATTATTTTTTAATATGTAACAAATATAATTTAAGTAATTTTTTTTCTTATAAATATTAATTAGTCTTACGGTGGCTAATACACATCGTCAACCTTTTTAACATTTTTTTGCACACATTTTCTAACCCCGCTTTATTATGTTATAAAAATAAAAGCCCCTCCCCCATAAATGAAAATGTTTGTAGTTAGTTTATTTAATCATAAACAAGTTTCTTAATCTTTACCATTTTCCCAAAAAATATTATCTTTTATAATCGGCATCTTCCTTAAGTCTAACCGGTAACCTTATTTAATAAATGAATCATTCTTTGTTTAATATCATTATTACATTTATTTATTTTTAATTTATCATTATTAAATTAAATTAAATACCTTTATAAATTTTTTTTGTAATAAGGTTAAGGTGTAATTAATTTGCTATTTATATTATATAAGAAATGGTATTTATTTTTTTTAAATCGTAATTCATAAAAAAATTTTAAAGTCGGATTTGGGCTAAAACAAATATTATATTTTGGGGATTATTACAATTAAAATTAATTGATTTTGCAAATTTAATTTTATTAGAAATGAATTTCCACAACCTAATATTAGAAAAAATGAATTTTTAAAGGTAAGGGATTTGCCAATATTAAAATATTATATCAGTAGGTTGTGTTATTTTTCTTAAAATATGTGTTTAAGGTCTGGTGCTGGCTAGGCCGGTAGTGTTATTTTGATTTATTTAATATTCAGATTGGGCAAGTGCATTTTTTTAAAAATACGGAAGTGATCTGCATCGGGCCTGATTTTTCTTTAAAAAAGTTTTGCTGACCCGGCTCGAACCCGAAATTTTTTTAAAAAAAGTTTTGCCAGCCCTGTCTGAACCCGAATTAAAAAAATTTACCGGCCCGGCTCGAATTTATTTAAATATAGAAATTAATTTTTATAATTACGCAAAATAAAAGATATATGTTATATGGCGTCTAGTTTCTATAAATAAAATTATTTTATTTTACATAAAAAAAATTCCAAGGCCCGACCCTTCCCGGCCCGGAATTTTTTTAAAAATATTAGACCCGAACTCGATTTTTTAAAAAAAAGGCCTGGCTAGGTCCGAAACCCATTACGGGCCTGGTCTACTTTTGCAAATCTCTATACGGAATATAGCTCGCAATCTACCCACTTTAAAATTTATATTTTAAAAAAAACATTGGAACTTAATACTTAAGAAATGAGTATAATATTTATTTCTTAATTTTTCTATATTTTTTGGCGACGTCGCTAGGGACTGACAAAATCTTGCCAAACATGCCACTCTTCTAAAAAACGTCACTCTTTTTGGTTATATTCTAGGATTATGGAAATAGGTGGGATGTTGATGGCGGGAACCTCTCCTTACGAAATTCCTGGTTACGTCTATTTTACCAACCATTTTTTTCTTCTATCGATTTCATTCTTCCCTTTCATTTAATTAATCTGGACGCTAATTAGTTAAAATTAAAAAGAATGCTATAATTATTTCCCCTTACTTAACCAAATAAATATTAAAAATTGTTACTTTTTAAAGACGAGCGAAGGCGGCCTTATCCTATCTTTATACGCTAATGTCTTTTTCCCAAAGTTATTAGGGTCTGCAAATTTTTTTAAAAAATGCCCCGAGTCACACCCACCTATTTTCCAAGCTCAGACCTCTGATTTCTATTATCCATTCGGGTATTTTTAATTATGAATACAAAACTCACATTTATATAAGGCTAAATAAAATAAAAATCACGAATTGCTTTGTCCTAAAAAATACTAGAAAAGATTGGAATTCTCGTTATATTTTTAAAATGAAAGAATACACAACTTTAACCTCTAATTTTATTTAAATTATTTTTGACTTTATATCTAAAAAAAATAATTTTTGGGCCGAATTGCGTGGCTCTATAGGTTTGAAAGGGACAGACTTTTGAGCAATTTTTTTAAAATTTTTCGTTATTTAATTAGAAAAAATATATAATTAAGTCAGGCTTGAAAATCTAAAGAGGGGAGCCAACCGACATTTGAATAAAATTATTTCAAACCGATTTAAATTTACCTATTTTGTTCCAAACTGAAACCCAAATACCTAACGGGACTTCAGTTCCTTAAGAATCACGGTTTTAGATCGGTTTTGTCCGAGACCGTTAGGATTCGTCCGTTGGCCTTTACTAATTAAAAACTTTTAATACGATTACGTTATATATTTTTTAGCTTTACATAAAAAAATTACATTTTTTTTAAAACTTTTAATTTTTTTTAAACAGTACAATAAGAAAGGAAAATAAATTTTTTTCAAGAAGTCGTTTAAAAATTTTTTAAATTTGACATTTTTGAGGACCGAAGGTTAATTAAATTTTTAAATTCTTAAAAATACAGATTATAAATTGGAATTTATTTTTAAAAAATTCCATTCTATTGTCTTTAATAAATTCTTTTGTTTGATTACGATACGATAGACGCTTTAATAAATGATTTATTTTTTTTTATAAAAAAATAAAATAATTTATAAAATCTATTAGCAAATTTTAATGCCGTAAATGTTACATTAAAAAAGTAACATTATCTTTATTACTTTTCATTATTTTATATTTTGTATAATAATATAATATTACTTTTATATTTACTTTACAATACCTTGTAAGTTTTAAAAATACCTATCCTAAACTATTATACTATTTCAAAAAAAATATTCTCAAAATAAATTCCGTAGAACATCGTTTGCAAATATTTATGCTAAATCCAATTAATATTTTGATGGCGATTGGCTCAATTTTAAAATATTTATAATATAGATGAATCCTTTCTTCCATCCCTGCACATCTTTCCGTTCCCAAATTTATGTATTGATCTGTCTCTTCAATATTTTTCTCCTACTTAATACTCAAGCACCAAATACTGATCATTTTTCCAGCGATGAAATTGGCTTAACTGGTCTTAATGTTTGTGTGAGGCCTCATAAGTAACGCGTTCATAAATAATGAGAATTTTAAAAATAGGAAGAAATAATAATTTTTAAAAAAGGAAGGAAGCAAAAATTGAAAGAATGAATGAGAGAAAGGAAAAAAATAATCAGAGACCTACAGGCCCGGCCCTAAGCTACCCGGGTCGTATTCTAATATTTTTAAATATACCCAGGCCGGGCCCTAAAAAATTTTTTATAAAAAAAATACCTGGGCCTGGTCGTATATTTTAAAACCGAATATTTTAAATCGTCATTTTTATAGTTATAAAAATTAAAAATAAATGTAATATTTTTAAAAAATCCGGGCGGGGCTTAAAAATATAAATCCCGGGCAGGGCCAAAAAAAATTTTTTCTCAAATATTGGCCGGGCCGTGCATGGTACTTCTGTAGGTCTCTGAGAATAATGCAGAAAAAAATAATATTGAGATACAATTTTAAATTAATACTGTTAATTCCATATTCAGAGAACATGTACCATATGAAACCACGGAATTAGTGTTTGAAAAACCTAAATGCGATTTTTGGGATAAAATATTTTCTGTGGCTACCGGAAGATGCAAACCGAAATCAAGGTTTCTTATTATACCTTATGTTTTTTTTATTCCTATTAACATTCTTATAAACGAATAAAATTTATTACTATTAAATACTCTAACCTGAAAATCTGTCAGATCTGAAACTCTAGCATTCTGAGCTAGCAATGCCTCTCATTCGAATTATAAGACATAATTCTAAAACTTCACAATTATAATGACTCGTTTAAATTGTTTAGTTTAGAAATATCTTCCATGATTTTGACTAAATCCGACCGAATTTTTAAGGTAAATCTGGGTTAGATAGAATTCTTAAAATCGAATTTGGTTCAGAAATGATTCAACCTGGATCCTGATTTGAAGAATATAGTTAAGTTCAGGAAAGGCTAAAGAGGTCTAAGAGCCTCACTAACTCATTTTAAAAGTTATCATTACTCGAAGTTGAGGTTTAAAAAAAATTGTAGCTCATTTACAGCATTATTTATAAAAATGTAACGCTATAAAGGACAATAACCGTCACAAAAACCCACACCGTCGAAATTATGCTAAGGCACTGCTGCAATGGATATTACAAATTCATTAATCAATGCTTACGTAAATATTTTAAAATTTTTTTGTAAATTTATTACATATTATAATGGGAAGAATTCATTACCTTCTTTCCTTCCTCACCCTTAGTTTTTTACGGATTTAATCGGGTGTAAATACGATATTTTACAAAATTAAATATTTCAAACTAATATTTAAAATACTAAAACTTTTGACAAAAGTGCATAATATTTGTGTTATTTTTCTTTAAAAAAAATAACAAAGCTATGTGTCCAGATCAATGTATACACGGCATATGCACGGCTCCCGGCGTGTGTCAGTGCAATGCGGGATATTCTGGCAAACGTTGTTTGTATGGTAACCTTCAAAAAAAATCATAATTATTTCTCTTTTAAACAATTTTTGGGACTTTTAAGTAGAATAATCTGTAATGAACTAATTTATTACTCGATCCATATTATCCAATCAATTAGATAGATTAGACTAAATAAATTATTTTGAAACTATTTTTTTCTTCTGTTTATCTTATTTTCAGCATGTAAAGGACTCACCTGGGGTCCTTCCTGCGCCAACCAATGTGAATGTCAAAACGCCGATTCTTGCGATCCAGAAAATGGCGATTGCAATTGCCTATCAGGTATATACTCGTAATTTTATTTAATAAATACCTTGTTATGTAAGTCTAGCCAGATCACTAAGATACCATAAGTTTTCTCAGATTAAAAATCTAATCAAATTCAGCCAAAAAAGATTTTTATAATAATCAGAATGATGCAAGGACAAATTACAATTTTACTAGGGGAGACTCGGGCTAATAAATTAACCAATTGTCAAAATTATCATACATATATAAATAATTTTATCAGAAATTGCAGAATACTAATAGGTATCTTAAATGATTTCTTAGCTAAAGTTAATTAACTATACTACAATTTTTTATAAAAAAATATAGAATACTTTTCAGTGGATTTTTTACCTTATAATCTCCGATCAGAGGGATTACCAACACCAATTGCTTATTATGGATTGGGGGTTGCTATTAAGATTATTTTTCAAATTAACGGTATAAATAAAATCAATTAATATTTTTTTTTTTAAAAAAAGAAGAATCTGCAATTTTAAAAACCCATGCCGAAGTCAAATATGGAAAAGCCGGATTAAGAATCCGGCAGATCTCTAATGTAAATTTGCATGTAATTTTTTAATCGATAAACATAATTGGATTCTGTTTGGCTAGATTGAGAATCAGAAAAAAGCATAAATGAAGGTGAATTAATATTTTAATATAGCATACTTAATAAATCAGGATTAGATGTGTATTTAAAATACAGAAATGGTGTGAAAATTTTGATAAGATTTGTTTTGGTCTTTATTTTAGCAAACAAATTTGTATTTAAAAATTCAACTCCGGTTTCTTAAAGAAAGTCTCAAATATACGATATTATACTAAAAGGAATTATGGGGATTAGGAATGATGGATGACTCTATTTTATGGGAAAAAAATTTAGTATCACTTTGAAATACATGGAAAAGTGAGGGGGATAGGAAGAATAAAATGTCTGAACGAAATAAAATAAAGAAAAATATATAATAACTACATTATACGATATAATTTTTTTTTAAATATCAAATCAAACATGGCTTTGCCAAGGATGGAGCGGTAACAATTGTTCGACTCCTTGCCCTACGGGTTACACTGGTCATTCTTGCGCGACTAAATGTATGCCCGGATTTTTCGGCGCCGCCTGCTTATCGCATTGCTCCTGCGCGTCAACCGAATTCTCTGTTGCTGACCGGGCAATCGCGATGGCCAACCGGAGTGGGATAGACAACGTTTGCGATCACGTGACAGGTGAGTGTGCATGCCCCGTTGGTAGGAGAGGGAAGTATTGCGAGGTCTAATCTTAAATTGAAATGAATTATAATTAAAGAAAAAACGAAAGAAGAGTAAATATTAAGGTAGAAACTAAAACAGGAGAGAGGAAGGAAATTAGTCATGGAGAGATGGTCAATATAGAGTAAACATTTTCTTAATTTATTTAACAATTGATCAATTCCCCTCTTCTTTTTTTTGACTGCTAGATTTTTCATTAAATCTCCTTAATTTAAATGTTGTAAGATAACTACACCATTAATCTGTCAAATTTTCAAAAGACACATGTACATAGGGTATTGTTTGTTAGTATAACACTTTTTATTGTTTTATATGGAATGATTATTATAACAAATTTTTAAATAGAAGTTCGCACATATGTTTTTTTAAAATAAATGATAACTCACTTATGGTATGGTAGTTATTGTTTTATTAAAATGTATATACAGTGAAACGATACACATGTTTAAATATACTATAAAAGGGGGTAAACAAAATAAGATTTTATTTTTAATAGAATAAAGATTGAAATTAAATATGGACAAGCAATTAATTAAGAAGATTAATAGTTGATTAATCATTATAAAAAAAATGTGTAATTTATGATGAAAAATGAATTTTTTTTTTTATTTTCTTTGAGAATGCTCAAGTAAGATATTTGATTAAATTTCATTTAAAATTCTAAATCATTTTTTGTAAAAAGTCTTTTTAATATTTTAGAATTTCTTAAATGTAATCTATTTTGTATATCCATTTATTTCGATAAAAATATGATAACACTATAAACTTTTATAATAATTTCGATAAAATAATTAATACATAAAAAATATAATTATAATTTATCAAAATATTCCATTGTTCCACGAATTTGATGTTGGTACCTTTTTAGAAATTAAAAGAGTTAATATTATAATTATTAATACAAATCGATTATAAAGATTACCTAATTAATCAGTTGCCCGCGATAACCCAACTCCAAATAGCTTTGCATGTGATTGTAAAAGTTAGTGAAATCATAAGGAATAAATCCGTGTAAGAGTTGAATAATATTCCTAACAATTTCATCTCTTGAATTAGGGCGGGGATTGATTGCTCTAAATTTATTTTTCAAAACTCCAAAAAAATTTTCAATGGGATTTAACTGAGGTGAATAAGGTGGTAGGTATTCAATCCTACCTTTATAAGAATCGATAAGATGGCTTCTATGGATAGATGCATTATCCATTACAATGATTGCATCTGGTGGTAGGATACTAATAAGCTCCGTCATAGAATCACGGAATAATAGCCCATTATAAGCTCCGTCTATTATTTTATAATGAATTACCCCTCCAATTCCGATTGTACAAAGGATACTTACATTTTTGCCCTTAGAGGATGGGATTTTTATTATTGGACGGACATTGTATGGCGCCCAGGCGTAGATTGGTACAACATGCAAGTTTATTCCAGTCTCATCTAAGAAATATAAATTTTCTCTTGGGATATTTAAGATCTTTGCACAATAAATTTGACGAATATTAATAGCCCCGGGAGTATTTCTTCTATCAGGCTCCTTGCCAGCCCTTTTTTTAGACCAACCAATATTTTTAATATATTTACTAATTGTGGTTTTTGTTTTTGGACTACCAGGAGGTAACTTTTCTATTATCTCCTGAATAGTCAAAGTGTTATTATCCATTAATAGGCTTATGATACTTCTTTCAATAATGGAAGAATCTTTCTTTTTACTTCCTCTTTTTTGAATATTATATTCCTTTAAAGGATCTCCATTTATTTCTGGGAATGTATCCCGTCTAAATTTGTGAACAGATGCAGTAGACATTTCGACATATTTTGCTATGTCTTTTATTTTCATTTGTTGTTTTTCCGGCATTGATAACATTTTGGTAACTATATCTAATTTTTCTTTATTCCAATATTTGTGTATTCTTTTTGGTCTTTGAATTCTCGACGAAGATTGGGAGTTTTCATTTAAATTGGAAAAATTAGTATTACTATTGGATAATAAAGATTCTATATTAAACATTTTTTTTTATTATTTAAGAAAAATTAAAAATAATTAATATGTAAGTATTTTAATTTTTTATTTTGAATTAAATTTTAACACATTTTTTTTATAATGATTAATCAACTATTAATCTTCTTAATTAATTGCTTGTCCATATTTAATTTCAATCTTTATTCTATTAAAAATAAAATCTTATTTTGTTTACCCCCTTTTATAGTATATTTAAACATGTGTATCGTTTCACTGTAAGAGAAAAAAAAGGGTTTTGGAATAATAGTAATATCACTATCTAGCTGAGATCCTGTCAAAGTTGAGGGTGAATGAACTCATATTACATTAACTTGGCATTTAAACGTGAATTGTTGAAATTTATGTTCAAATTTATTTAAGATTAACAATATAATTCACAGTCAGTCATATTACTTTTATTTTGTTTATATTCAAATTTAACAATACTTATATTTGACTACAAATATTTATGATTATATAGATAGTAAGACTATTTGTTAAATCAACGCATTTTTTTTTCCTACCTTTAATTTTTTTAAATCAATATTGTTCTTGCCTAGGGGGAATAAATAATGTATAATTAGAAATCTCACCACAAAATATGCTTGCATATTCTCAAGAATACTGGACAATAAACAATATTTATTTTTCAATCATAGAAATAAAAATGTATTTCTCAGATACTTCAAATCGGGTTTGCGCTGGTTAAAATATTCTCAATCTCTATTTCAATATAATCTGGTTAAAATGAATTTCATTAATTCATTAAATTATTCCGACAAATGATTTTATAATATCTATAAGTTAATGAAGTGTTGTAATTGACGAATCTAAAATTTAACCCCTTAACTTTACTAGAACGAGATATAGGGTCTCAAAGTGGCTCTACTTGATCATTTTTCGAAAAAAATGATTTTTTAAAATTGGGATAACTTTAATTAGATGCACTATATATATTTATAAGCTCATTTTATGCTAATAATTAATTTTTAATTTATATATTTTTTATGGATAATTTTTAAAAAAAATTGTAATTAATTATTTTAAATAATTATATATTTTTTTTTAATTTACAAATTTCAGATATTTTGTAAAGAGTACCAAAAACTTTTCGTATGAAAATTTTAAGTGGTAAAAAAAAAGTTAAGTAAGAAAAAAGCTTATAATAAAATTATTGCTAGATGGCACTAATAATTTCAAAGAGCTTAAAACTTGAAAATATAAGTCTACATTTTTCATATTCATAATATAATATTTATTTTAAAAAATCACATTTTGGCACCAAAATAAAATTTATGCTTGATAGATAGCACAAGTAATTTAAAATAGCTAATTATGATTTAAATTATAAGGTATGTCGCCTATTTGATTTATTTCAAAAAAAAAATTTCCAAAAATTTACTTTTTATCGGAGTCTAAATACATTTATTATTATTTTGTTGGATTCGCGGCCCAATATAAAAATAGGAAAAAGACTTCGCTATTCCAGCCTAATGATATTTTGTTACTGCGCATGGGATAAATGCGATGGAATAGGGGTCGAACTGCTAAACACTTGGCTGCACAAGCCAGTTTACAACGACGTTATGGATATCAAATAAAATCTTGCGATTTCTTCAAATTCGCTGAGGAAAATATTAAAAAATATTTATTTTTCCTATGTTGTAATTGTTAAACCAAATTACAAAGCCGAAGGATATAAGAAAAAACAATTAAATTTCGAATGCAAATGATTTAAAAAAAGAGGAATAAAAAAGAATGATTATTCAAATTAAAGAAAGTTCAAGATTTTTTTCAGTTTGTTTGTAAAACATTATGTAAATGAATTATAGAAAAGTATATATATATTCGAGGATATTTGTATAAGGAGAGATCATGATTTTACGAACTTAATTATAATTTTTAATTTTAATAATTTTTTATTATTTTAATTTTTTTTAATTAATTTAGTTTGATTATATTTTTATCTTATTACTTAATAAAGATTTAGTATCATTTTAGTTTTAACCTTTCTTTATTTGACAACGGTTCTAATCTCTCAATCCTTAAAAAAACTTCAAAATGTTACAATGATGTTGGAGAGTGGAGGCGACAGGGCAATTTCAACAATTCAGTCTAATTAACTCTCCCACTAGCCTCAGCAATATAAATATCAATCCCATATTGGTACAGGAGATTCTAAATAAAGGGGGAAGGGGATGTATGAAATGACGATCGACACAAAGACAAAGAGTTAGGTCAATGAAACATGGTGTCAATATCAATGGTCGTAATTCGAAAAAGAATAGAATTAGTCATTTAATTAAAAGGAATTCGCCACAAGAGATCGTTATACGTACAAGTGATCGATGTAGCTAAAAGAAATTCGTTATAAATTTTTATTAAAGATATATGGTTGACTGTTATTTAAGTTGATAATATTTAGCAAAATATCAGGTTGTTGATTAACCAAAAAATCTTCATAAAGAGAAACGGCTTTTCGTCATTAGAAAATTTATGCCGCAATCGAGCTCAATTAGAGATCGGATTTTTATTTTGGATCAAAAGATACAAGAAATCATTATAGTATAAGAGATCTTAAGGCAAAGTGGATATATTGACAAGAAGACCAGGATGCTATCGTTAATCGTTGACAAATTATAGCCAATTGCTTATCATAAATTTAGTATAAGATAAAAAATCGAACAAGAAGTCGTGGAAACCATCGTTACTCGCAGACAAATTATAGTCAGTGGTTTACCGTCATTAGTTACTAGAAACCGTTAGAAACAAGCAAAGACTAGGATAATGTGGGAGTAAAACGAGATATAATTAAAGGAGCTAGAAGAATGTATCGGGAACCATGCCTTACTCGCAGAATGGTGGGACTAATCTAAGTGGAAGGGTGTTGTAATTGTTAAACCAAATTACAAAGCCGAAGGATATAAGAAAAAACAATTAAATTTCGAATGCAAATGATTTAAAGAAAGAGGAATAAAAAAGAATGATTATTCAAATTAAAGAAAGTTTAAGATTTTTTTCAGTTTGTTTGTAAAACATTATGTAAATGAATTATAGAAAAGTATATATATTCGAGGATATTTGTATAAGGAGAGATCATGATTTTACGAACTTAATTATAATTTTTAATTTTAATAATTTTTTATTATTTTAATTTTTTTTAATTAATTTAGTTTGATTATATTTTTATCTTATTACTTAATAAAGATTTAGTATCATTTTAGTTTTAACCTTTCTTTATTTGACAACGGTTCTAATCTCTCAATCCTTAAAAAAACTTCAAAATGTTACACTATATATCTCATGAAAAATACCAATAGGAGCTAGAATTTTTAAAGGATCGGTTTTCAAAAGCTTCTTTTCATTCCTGGAACTCATTAAATTCTGCAGTTTATCCTGTTAACTTATCACAAATAATTAAGAAAAAATATTCGAGTGCTGTTCAAACGACCCCACAAAATATTCAAAGTCGAATAGGCTAAATATCAACCAATTATATTAAAGGGTATGTAACATGTTTTTATGATAATAAATGGTGGATGGCTTATATTCTAGCGATTATTAGTGATGATGAAGTAAAGGTAATATTTTTACCCCTAATGAACCTTCTCAGTCCTTTTTATTATCCACCAATGCATGATATTCTTATTCTTCCGAAAAATGATATTCTAACTGTCGTCAACGTTTGACCACTACAGGAAGAACTGATGAAGAATCAGAAATGACTATATACAAATTTAATTTAAGGAAATCAATATAACTAAGCATCTATACTATAAGTAATTTTACTATTTAATTCAATAAATATTATTGAACCGACATATTTTACAAAAATTAAGTTTTTAGCTATTTTAAATTCTTGCGCTATCTAGCGGAAATTTTATTTTTGTTACCAAAATGAGATTTTAAAATTTAGATTAAAAATTTTCAAAAATTAAGTTTTAAGCTCTTTAACATTATTAGCTTCATTAGCGGTAATCCTATTTTTAAGCATCTTTCCTACTTAAATTTTATTTACCACTCTTCGTATTGGGTGAGATATGGTAGTGATGTTAGACAGCTCGATTTTTAAAAACGGGTAACCTAAGATTTTAACCGAAAAATATTAAGCAAACCCCGAGATTTTACTCTTAGATGGTAGAAAGGTTTGGATATCTATTAGCAAAATCTCGAGGCTTACCTAATATTATTTTTAAATCTTAATTTAAAATCCGATAAATAATCTCAATTTTAAATCATTACTGAGGGCATTTGAAAAATTTGATTTGACCCGAAATGTATATCAGCATGTATGGAGTGCTCACATTTTGAATTTCTAGAAATTTTGCCATGAACTTTAGAACTACGTAATTTCATAAAAGTTTATGGCCAAAATTTTCTGAAATTCATAGCCTAGATACTCTACAAATGTTGGAATCCATTTCTGATTAAATCAAATTTTAAAAATTTATAAACCTCCCTCATTAAACAATTTAAAATCGAGAGATTCTAAATACCCATAGATTCCATATCCCAATGCGACATATAAAAAGACTTTGATGGTTTTTATATTAAAATTTTTTAAAAACTCGTTTATTTTTCAAAAGATAACAATATTTTTTGATTATAAAATTAATTTATCCACCTCTTATTGACCCGTAAGCTTCTCGTTGCCAATTACCTATTAGAAATTATTATTTAAATGTTATATCTAGTCGACACTAACGTAATTTCCTTGGTTGGCCACATTAAGGAGGTTTTACCGTGTCCTATTATAATTTGATCGAAGAATGATTGGTTTTAAAAGAAAAATCTCAACAATATTGTGAAAGGACTACGTAGGAGATCTCAACATCATCATGATTATGAATAAAAAATCTAGTTTAAAATATTTTCTTTTGTTGTTGGCATTTAAGCCTCTTACTTTTATGGTGAGCTCTATAGACTAAAATTGTCCTTTCTGGTTAACCAAAAGCAAAGTCAATATTGGAGTTATTTTTTTAAAAATAAAACACAGAAAGTCACTTTAAAAAAATAATAAAACAAAAATGTGAATTTTATTTGGTTACCCATCCTATTTGATTGAGCTCACAGAGAGGGCACTCTTTTGCAAAAGATCATAAATTATTCTTACTCTAAGTATTCATGTATAGAGAAAGTTTCCAAATGGACAAATTTTGGATGTACATTATTATTAACTTATTTATACTATGCTATAGTGAACTAGCTGGGATTTATTTATATTCCTTTATAAGGGACTATTCATCCCGGTTTTTTAAAAAAAAATATTTAATAATACAAATATTTTATATAATTTTAACTAAAGATTGAATGCGAATTCGGCACCTACGGCAAAAATTGTCAGCGACAGTGTAAGTGTCACGATCTTTTAACCGTCATATCTTCCAATATCGATAGGAAAAGCGGGAAGAAGGAGGTAATCCTCACAAAATATTATTTTATTATGGCTTCCTATAATTCCTTATTTAAATTATTTCAGTTTTGCCATTTTTTTCATCCCTCCATCTGTTCCAATGTGATAAACTCAAAGAATAATGGTTCTTATTTTTAACGTAAACAAGGTTCTATTAAGCGGAGGTCTTACTAGATGCGATCCGACTAATGGGACCTGCATATGTTCTCACGGCTTTTCTGGAAAACTCTGCGATCTCAGGAGCTGCCCTCCATTTAGATACACAGGCCAGGTGAACAATTCTATTATAGAGGAGAGTGACGATATAGATGAAAATATGATTGAAGAAATGGAAGTGAAAAATGCCCGTGAAAAGGTTAAAAAAATTTACAAAATATCATCCGATATCTAATTTGTATAGGTTTTTTTTTATTGTTTAAAATGATAAAAAGCACTGTTTTTGAAGCTAATAATTTATAATGCATGAATTTTTACTAATTTGAGATGAACGACAATGTATGTGTAATAAATGGTCTAGTTAGTATATGATATAATATCGCTTGCAGAGACCTTCATGGGCCCTAATTTTTTGATCAAGGCCGGCCTAGGTCTGGAGTAAATAATTTTTTAGGCCCATACTCGATCCGGCCTCTATTTAATATTAAAAAAAATTCCCAAGTCCAATAAGTTTCAAAAAATTTTTCCAAGACCATATCCAAAATATAATTTATTGTATTTAATTAAATAAACATTTAAGTGTATTTAGGCAATCATTTTGTTTGTAATACTGAAATTTATTATTATTAGAAGAAAAAAATTGTAATATATTTTAAAGTTAACAACTTTAAATAAGCTAAATTTGAATTAAAATAGTCCCAAGTCCATTAATAAAATTCAAAATCCCAGGCTAGCTAGTAAATATAATATTAGATAACCGACCCATCGGCTCTGATCGCTTGATTATCGGTCAACTTAACCAGAATTTTAATTGTTATAACAAATTTATAAATATTGATAAAGCATCTTTAAATAAATATATATAATAATATTTCAATTGCTAAGGCTGTGTCCTAAACCTGGTTTAAAAATTCGGAAAAATAAAAAAAAACTTTCAGAAGTTTTTAAATTTTATTTAAATCTGTTAAAATAGAAATATGTTAACATGTTATTATTTTTATATTAAAAATAGCTTTTTTCTTTTCCTTAAGTGTCTTCTTTTAGAAAATAAAATTTCAGTTTCAAGCGAAAAAAATATAGTATCAAGAGAAGGGCAGATAGGTCCTACATGTTCAGGACGCTCTCTAACTATGTAACAAAATGTTTTGGGTTCATTTCAATGCACATTCGAATTATTTTGCATAAAAATATAGTCACCACCTGCCCATGTAGAACCTGCATCATGCACCCATTCCTGCGCTTCAATTTGCTCTTCCGATTGTCATCCCATAAGTGGGCACTGTTTTTGTCCTCCCGGGTTTACCAATTCCCCCTTTTGCGATACTCGGTGTTCTCTACTTCGCATGCTTGACAACACTGAAGAATTTAGCCAACGCGGGCGAAGGGAACATGGTGACGATTTGGAAGAGGGTGATGATATACATTTTTTTTATAGTGCTAAGGATATAAGGAACAAAAAAAATACTTAATATGTTAATTTTAATTTACAATATATTAAAATGCTATCATTTTAGATGCCACTCTATACTCAAACCTTCGAGATTTTTTTTATGCCAAGGGAAATTAGGGAGTAAAATAGAAGAAGTAATAGAAATAAATTAAGGGATAAGGAAAATAACCACAATTCTAATTATTTTTTCCAAATTTCTTTTAAATTTCTCCACCAAAAAAAAGAAATCCCTTTCTTAAAACGATCTTCGGGAGGAAAAGGGTGCACGCGCAGATGTAAGTGTGGGCCAATCAAGGACGAGTTAACCCAAATCACCGAAAAAATATCGGGCGGCTTTATAGAAGCCGTTCTTTTTGAATGTGATCAAGAGACCCAACAATGTTCCTGTCCACCAGGTTATACATGAGTTAACTTTTTAGATCATAAGGATTTATATAACAAAAATCGCATTTGTTAGCCCTTTAGAACTAGTATTGTTAAACGACTCGTTTTGAGCCAATTTATAAAAACGGTTAACTCAATATTTCATCCAGAAAAATACTACGCAAGCCTGAAGATTTGCTCATAGAAAGAACAAAGGTGTTGACATATATTAACTAAATCTCGAGGCTTATGCAATATTTTTATGGCTAAAATATTGAGTTAGCCGTTTTAAAATCGGCTCAAAGCGAGTCTTTATTCAACACTATTTAGAACTATTAAATAGTATAATTCTATTTCCAAAACGGCGATGATATATTCGCGTATATACTGTTTGATCCTGCTAAGGTCGCTAAAATAATTATAGTATAAGTCTATTCCAATAAAATAAATCTCATTTTTATCTAACCAGATTTTATATATATAACGATTATATTCATGTAATCTCATAAAGTGACCATTTCTCCTCTAAATCTATTGTTAAAATTCTTTCTCAATCCATATTATCCAAATATCTTATTAATTAATTTTTTTATCATTTTTAAAAATTAAATAAAAAATTATACTTATTTGTTTCTCTTGTACGTTTAACCTACAATATTTTTTTAACGGTTTTTTCTTTCACTTATTTAATTTAATTTCTAAAAATATTCTAAGGCCTTTACCAAAAAATTTTATTGATAAGGGGAAGTGGATTTTTTTTTGAAACTTATTTTAATCAAATTAGACGATTATTAATAATTACTCCTTTACAAATACAGACAACCCTTAAGACTAATAATACTCGTTTAATTTAATGCACCTATTAATTTTAAAATATGAATAGGAATAGTTCAAATTTAAATTTAATAACTTGTTATAATTTATATAATATTCGTTCATTTTAGGAATAAAATCTACTTTTGATAGCAATGTATATAAACACTTTTTTAAAAAGAAATTGCAAAATTCCGTTAGAGAGATGCCAGTAATTTATCTGAAGGAAAAGCCCCCAAATTCTTCTTTAGTTACGGCCCTCACTTTTTGACTATGCTTTGGGATATAATTTAAATTTTAAAATATATTTTTAAGTGTAAAACACTTGTTTCAACTCTTTAGTACTCTTCATTTTATCCATTCATTTGCATAGCTAAACTTTCACTCTTCATTCTGATCTTAAACTCTGTTCACTTTTTTTACATATGTCTATATTAAAGGCTTTATGGGCAAAAACTGCAGCCAGTTATGCTCTGCCGGCACTTATGGTCCTGCATGTAAACTTTCGTGCTCATGCATTCATTCGCAAAATAAGTGCAATCCTGTGACCGGAGAATGCATCGGGAATTGTTTACCTGGTTATCATGGAGTCAATTGCAATACACCTTGCCAGGTTATCCTTTTTTTCTTTATAAAACCTAAATTTGAAAAAATGGTTTAGTAAGGAAGAAAGAAAGAAGCCACTTGACGGACGGTATATAACGTTATATTTTATTTATTTCACGCAGAACGGCTTTTGGGGTTCTGATTGCACTCAAAAATGTTCATGCAAAAATGAAAGAGCATCTTGTGATCAATCAACCGGTAAATGCGTTTGCCCGCCTGGCTTTACAGGTTTTGCCAGAAAAAAATATTGTTGATCAAATTTCTTCTTTCTAAAATTACTTATAATTACTTTCCTATTTTTTCTCATTAATTTTTGCATTAATTGTAATATTTATGACACAATGGTGCTACAAAAATAAATCATATCCATTTAATTTATATATCGATGTTCACAAATAATACTATATAAATTTATAAAGCGAGCATTAAAGTTTATTTTCGGACCTAAAACAACCACAAAAACTATTATTATATAAGTAAATCTCTTTTTTTCACATTTATTTTTTTTGTAGGTTCTCAATGCCTCACGCAATGCCCGCCTTTCACCTTCGGCTTCATGTGTTCTCAAAAATGCGATGAGTCATTTCTCAAACAAAATTGTCCTTCCTTCTATTCGTATTCCAACACCCATTGCCACCCTGTACATGGAGGTTGTGTGTGTGATACCGAAAGGTATTTTCTGGGAAATTTTACCGACGGTGATAACGTTATTTGCGATAACAAAAAAATCGGGAATTTTGTTGGGAAAAGTTCTTCTACCATGGCCAATATTGGAGGTTGGTTATAAAGATTTGATTCTCAAATTTATATTAACACCGCATACATATAAATATATATTATTTAGAGAATATCCTTTAATTTTTAGATGTTAATTAATCTTAATAAAAATCAATGAATAAAATTCCTGTTGTTTGATAATTTTTTAGGAACACGTTTTACGTGGAACGGAATTTTTTTTTGTCGGAATGGAAAACGTAATAATGCTTTTGTTCTAGGTCTGGTTATGATTAATTATTTGTATATTTATAAATGGATTTCAATTAATTTTACACAAATCTTTTTTTAATAGAAAATACAAATATTTTAAAATAATTATTATTTTATAAAATATATATTTATCTATTTTAAAAATAATTATTATTTTATAAAATATATATTTATCTATTTTAAAAAAAATTACCACATTTATTTGTTTCTTTGTCTAAAATCAATTTTTTATAAATAAATGTTGAATAAGATAAGAGACCGTAAACCTATTTTACTATATATCTCTGAAAAAACATTTTCACACTTAATTTGATGCATTCTGTACAATTTTGTGCTCTTAGAGGGTTGGGACAATTTTCAAAAACCGCAATTTCCCCCAAAAGTATCTAAATACATGCATTGACGAATACTTTTAAATTGATTTTTATAATACCAATAACAATTTTTTTTTCTATTTTATTAACCATTTTCTAAAAATTTGCATAAATAATAATATTGTATCGAATTTGTAAACATTTTTATTTTAGAATTATGTCAATGGACACTATTTTAATATAATATAGTAATCATATTTCCTGCTTCCACTTTCTTATAGATTTTGAAAGATAGTTTGAAGAGCCCTCCATCTAATATATTTAAATGACATATAGTAGGGGATGGGCATACTACATACTCTGCCAAAAATATTTTCTTCAAAAAAATATATTTCTTAAGTTTTATTTCAATATGAAGGTTGCACGTTTTATTAGATATATATTTTTTTCTCTAACTCAGATCTCAAAATTAATATTTAAAAAAATAAATTGCGGATTTTACATGTATATATAATATTTTAAAAAAACTAAAAGTATTTATTTTGAAATCGTAAATAAATACCAATAAAAAATTTCTTCTTTATTTTTTTAAATTTTAGATTTGATTTTTTTAAAAATATATATTGTATATTAAATATTTGTAATCTTTTAATATTGATTTGAATATAAAGCTTTACAGATGAAAAAAGAAAGTATTTGTATTTAGTATTTTAAATATAAATCAAGACACTGCTAATAAACTGGGTTATAAAAAAAATCTTTAATAATAATGGTTTATTTATGAAAAAGGTAAATCAAAATGGTTATTAATACTACCTATAATACTGATGATAACAATCTTGACACTCGTCATAGCCTTTTTCGTGAGAAGGGGATGTCTTAAACGAACGCTCAAAGGGAATATTGGACATGTATTGAATGGAAAGCCTTATTACGATACTTATAGACTACGTACTACCCATAATTTTAATAGTAAGGATATTTATTTTATAAAAAAATGTGTAGATAGAAGGAAGTAAGGAAAGAAAGATTGAAGCAGTGAAATAAATAAGTTTTTCCCCATAATTTTATAATAAAAAATAATTATGGTAAGAAACTCGATTTTTTTTCTCAGGTCTAGTCCATCCGCTCCACGGTAGCAATTATATTTTTATATCTGAAACCGGCCTATTGTATCTGAATTTTTAAAAAAATTTTAAAATCAAAATATTTATTTTATTTTCATTCAAACAATAATGATAATTTAGTTTTTATTATATTTATTGCAATATTATATAAAAATGAATAGTAAATTTCCCATTTGATATTTTTTTTAAAAACCTTCTAATTTAATATATTTTTCTTATAATTATTATAATCAATCAGGCAAAAGGGAAGAATAGGAAATTAATATTTTTCGGGACACAAGCCAGGCGTATATTTTATTGATGAAATAACTGCTGGCCGTTCCTGCAGGACTTTTTATATCAAAATTTAGAAAATCTTTAAAGAGTTTTCTCAAAGATTATTATTCCCAATTAAAATACAATATCCAAATGTAAAATGTTTCAATAAAAATTTTGAATTACCAAAACTTTCTCTATTAAAATAAGTTCCACGAATCTTATATTTTTTATTTTTCGTAAAATCAGCTCCAGATGACTCTTATTATGAGATGGAAGGAAGGCTCAATGGATTACCGCAATCTCCCTTAGGTCTTTCCCCTCAAACCGAAACAGATTTTTCTCGAATTAGTAATAATGATGTCAGATCCCGTCTTAGCAACGGTATTATGTTAGAAAATTAGTTTAGTTCAGGTGGAGGAGGGGAGGGGTGGTACATCTAAATTAATCTAATGAAAGTATTTAAGAAAAATGTTATAGGCCTAGAAATGCCACGGTTTGAATTTAATTTTTTTTAAATGATACATCATGGATTTAGAATTAATTAAGAAATTTATACCTTTTTAGTACCCATTTACACATAAATTTTAAATTTGATTTCGCAATACTGATGTTAATTTATTGAATTCGCATAGATTTTATAATAGATATTTTGTATTGGATTCTAAGCTTGGTACAACCAAACATTTTTTGATTAATTGAACTGAATTATAGTTACCCGTAATTTACAATTATTTAAACAATTTATTCAAGATTTTGAAAATCCTATATACGGACGTGAGAATTCTATCCTAAGTACAGATAAACGATTCAACAACTCAAATGATCAAGCAACTCCAAATAACCATAAATTTAGCAATAAAACAGCTATAAATTCCTTTAAAAATAATCTTAATTCATCGGCTCAACAGAATTCCTCCATAGCCAAAATGAGTAACATTGAAACGGCTAACAAATTAAAACAACAATTAAATGTTTCTCAATTGCCAAATGATGAAACCGAAAAATCGGCTTTACAAAAGGGCCAAGGTTTTTTAACCTTGGAAAATAAAGCTGAAAATGCACTCAAAGGAGCGAATATTGACGATTCCCATACAGGAATGGAAGATAGGCCGGCTTCTTCATACAATACTCCTAGAGCTTTGGAAAATGCATTTCTCAATGATGATCCGTATTATTTGGCATTCGCCTCTCCTAGTGAGCTAATTATTTTATAATATTAGTAATCGATGTTTATTTAGAAATTTTAAGTTTTCAATTTACACTTTTATATAATGATCGATATTTTACTTAGCTTATAACCGGTTTATACCATTTTCGCGGTTCTACCGCTTTCAATTTACCATCTTCTAAGGCTGTGTCCTAATTGGAGCGTTTCAATATTGAAATATTTGTTCAAATAACATGGAAACTATCAATCGTTTTAATCAGGCCCTAGCTTACGTTTCTTGTTTGTATCTGTTACTTAACAACTTATATTTAATTCTTAAATAATTATGTTTAAAAAATGAGTACTAAATAATTAAAAGAGATGAAATTTTTCATGAGTTTATAATTATGCAAAATATAATTTAAATATCTTCATAACTTGATAAAGAAAATAAAGACTTAGACGGTAAAAAAAGATGATGGACTAGCTTGATTTATGTCACGAGGCAAATTACAATAAACATTTTTAGAAATTTTAAATAGAAAATTTTATTAGCTTTTAAATCACATTTTTACCCGGTTTGTTATAGTTTTATAGTTTTTGGTACGAATCAAGTGTTAAATTTTTTATTGTACATTATAAATTTTATAATTCAATTTTTACTATAAAATTCAAGAAGTTAATTTTTGATAAAAAATTTCCTCCCCATATTATTTTTTTATTATGACTCCTAAAATTATTTTTATTTAAAGCGATAAAATGTAATATCATTTTAATTCATATCCTGCCTTAAAAAATACTTCAAAACTTATAAATTTCATGAGCAAATATTTATGAAAATTGAATGACATTTTTTTAAATATCCTAATATATATTTTATATATTGATTATGTTGAGAAGAATTTTTAAAATATTTTTAACTTTATTAAAATATTGTAAAAATCGAAAGATATTATTTTTTTTAATCTTATAATTTTATGATGTATTCAAAAAAATCACGGATAATTTTTAAGAATATTTTTTTCTACAACTTTTAATTTTATATTAAAATAAAATTTAATTTGACAAATTATACATCAAATGACATTTTATTATTTTTTAAATCTAAATTATTTATAAGCGCATAAATTATTTTTAAATTATATTTTTTTAAGAGTAATTTTTGTAATAGACTTTATTTAAATTTGAATACTTAAATAAAATGATGATTACAATAAAATTACATGGTGTTAAAAACTAATATACATATATATATAATATGCATAATGATTACAAATTATATCAAAAACAATTACTTTTTGCAAATAATCAACCGTATAAAAAAATATTTGGCTAAATAATTAGATAATTAAATGTATATGACAAGATTTTTTAAATTATTGAGTTAACATTTTCTATGCTAAATTTGATGCATTAAAATTTTCATGTGATATCTCAGGCATCACGTAAGATATATCGTCCCAAGGATGTCTGTATAATCCCTGTTTCAATCGCTTTTGATCCAAATAATGACCTAAACCGAATAAGTAAATATAATAAACTTGTATAATAATTAGGTGTAACAATAAAATTATGGATCGATTATTTAAAAGAAATTTTAATATTCTCATAACAATATAAGATTTTCAATTTTGTCTAGATCAATAACGACGATTTTACTTATAAAATTTAATTAGTCAACTTTTAAGTTAAAAAAATTCAAAACATATAATTTGATATGAAGCTGAGATGAGAATAAGTTATATTTGTAAAGTGAGTTTAGTTAATATTTTGAAAAAATTAATCTATAAATTTCTAAACAGATAAGAAAAAAAATTGTTAATTTTTTCAAAGACGCACCAAAACCACTTTTTATGGCCGATATCGATACCCAACCCAATACTTATAGTGTCAGCAGATGTCACCGAAATCCAATACCAAAAATAATAACGTACTTTAAAAAAATTTATAATTAATTCTTATTATAATTTATTTAAATTAATTTTTTATAGAAAATACAATTAACATAAATAGTTATTATACCATGAATTAGAAAAAAAAATTATATTTTTAATTAAATTTATATTTTATTAATCTATATATTTTAATATTAATTATATATTATATATTATAAATAATAAAATTATCTAATTTATAATTATCAATTGAAATTTTTTATGTAAATAATAAAATTATCTAATTTGTAATTGCCAATTGAAATTTTTTAGCCATGTTTGTATCCTAAATTCTTTCGCTTCAAACTATTAAGCGGCCATAATGACAGCAATTTTAGCATATTTGTCTTTTTAATATTTTTATATAGTACAAAGAATGAACCAAAACCAATTTGTCAACATTTTAACTTTTTTCATTATTGATAAAATTAGATTAAAATTATGGTGAATAATTCGGGTCAAGGATTTTTAAACATTAAATAATTGGATGGAATTATTCTTATAACAACGTTTTGTTTGAGTTTATAAAAAGGAGAGATATATGTTTTTTTCTTTATGGATTTGGAAACCGTTTAGAAAATATTCAAGCGGTAGCTTGCCCATATGAGCAGGATGATGTAGCTTTGATTGGGACAAAGTGGAGCCCATCAGGCAATTGACATTTTAATAACTCAGCCCTAAGAAGAGGGTCATGTACATTATTAGAAGGGGCAAGGGGGTGTATGCAAGTAAAATCCATAACCAAGGGTTTGCCATATACAAAGGGGACTATAGTTTTGCTGTCAGGGAGTTTTTTATCTATGCTGAACGTGAGTTAAAGAATGCACGGGAAATTTGCCTTATTGAGAAGAGTGGCAATAAGTGTGTCCATTTTGTTGTGTTGGTTAATTTTAGATATGAAGTGTATGGCGTCCAAAACAGTCTGTATGTAACCTGATTACATTTGATGCAAGTGTATTGGTTTAAAAATGGTATGCCCAAGCGCATAACGAAAAGAGTGGTTATCTATTAGTTGCTTGTTTAAAATACTGGGGTAGGAATCAAACAGTTGTTAAAATTAAGCGTCCTGAGGAGGGATTTGTATTGGTGATCTTACTCATGTTGAAGATTCCAGTCTTTTTGCTTTGATGACTCTGGCTGAGGTATTTGGCAAGGCATTGATGGTCATCAATTTAAGGCATCGTCCATAGAATTTCATAAGTGTCTAAATCTAAGAGGTCGGTAACAAATGATAGATAGAAGCAATCAAGGCCTGGAGCCGAATCTCTTGGGAAAGATTTGATAGTATATATTTAAACTTGTATTTGTGGGGGATATTTTGGTTCTGAATGTTTTTCTAAAAGTTGGTATCTCGTGCTTAAGTTGTCATTTGCAAGAGCTCCCTTAAGATAGAAATGATTGATTTGATTATATATTAGTTTCTGTGAGATTACTTGAAGATTTATTGACAGGATCGATAAGTATGGTCATAGTTTTCAAAATTATTATCAAAATTTTCATTCTTGCCTTGAAGGTTTGGCAAAGAGAAGTTGAATTACCCTTAGGGGGGGGGGGGGATATATTATATTAAAGTTGGGAAAAATAACAGTTTTTCCCAATTTCGACCTTCTAGTTTTTGTATAATTGTATTAAGGGATTTGATAAATTATTTTAAGAGACTGCTTTAGGAATATGTGAAATTGTAGATCTAAAGTTGGATATTAAATTTTTGGGATAAACCAAATCAGGAATAGGGTTTTTAATATAGGGTAATTCCCTGGTTGAGGTGTTATCCATTTGTTGAGCATCAAATAACTGGTATCATTTGGAATTGAAATCAATGGGATGATTGGTGTAATGTTAAGATTAGATTGCAGGTAGCTGGAGATTTATTGCTACCTGAGCAAATAGCAGGGACCATGTTTTATTATGAGGTTGTTATTTTTGTGATCAATAACAGTATGAAAAGTTTTTCCTGTTCATAGGAATATATTGGAAATTTTAATAGATATTAGTCAACCATATGATAAGGGGTTTACATCAGGGATGTGAACCCGGACCCTGGACCCTCGTATTTTGGCTGAACCCGGACCCTTTTAAAAAGTGGAGGTCCAAGGGTTCAGGGTGTTAAAAATTTTTTTTTTTAATTAATGTAAAAATATAATTTTTAAAAAATAATATAAAATTTTTATAATTTTATTAATTTTTAAAAAAATAATATAAAATTTTATTAATTTTTAAAAAAATAATATAAAATTTTTATAATTTTATTAATTTTTAAAAAAATAATATAAAATTTTTATAATTTTATTAATTTTTAAAAAAATAATATAAAATTTTTATAATTTTATTAATTTTTAAAAAATAATATAAAATTTTTATAATTTTATTAATTTTTTTCGTGGAATCTCCCTAAAATCACTTTAAAACTATAATTGATAAAGCAAGGGATGTTGTAAAATATTTAAGAACTCCCACAATTGTTAGAATATTAAAATCCATGAAAATGTAAATGATTTTAGATTTCACAACACGTTGGTCCTCTATGTGTATGATGCTAGAGCGATTATTAAGTTTGAAAGATTTCTGTAATAATTTTATCATAGGAGCATGTGAAATCATTTTTTCAGAAGATGATTGGAATCAAGTAAAAGAGCTTACTAGTGTACTGGTTCCTTTAAAAATAACAACATTAAGAGTGCAAGCTGAACAATTGTGTTTCTCGGATTTTTATGGCATATGGTTAAGATGTCGATTAGAGTTAGGGAGATTAACAAGTTCTTTTTCAAATGAAGTATTAGAAAATACTAAAATAAGAGAGCAAGAATATTTACAAAATAGTGTTGTATATGCTTCGATATATTTAGACCCGCGATATCAGGTTTTATTAAGTAGTGAGCAAAAACAAATGGCTATAGACCATCTTGAAGATTTATGGCATACACAAAACTCTATTATTTACAATACATTGGTGGTTACAACAATACAATATCTACTGGTTGTAGCGATAACAATGATAATGATAACGATATTGATGATCTGTAAATTTTACTATAAGATAGAGAAAAAATAATTAAATTATCATCTGATAGAAAGGAGCAAAAAATATTTATTGGATCTTTAATAGAAAAGTTCTTGGAAGTTATGAGAATAAATAGAGATGCAAACATTTTAAAATTCTGGGAGGAAAATTCTTCAATATATCCAGAATTATATACCTTTTCTAGAATCGTCATGGCTGTACCGGCGACACAAGTACAATAATTTATGTATTATAAAAATGACTATCTATTTTAGGTAAGCGTAGAACGTGGATTTTCATCGTTGACTAATTTACGTGGAAATCTGAAGAATGATATTTTAGAAGATATCATAATTGTGCGATTGAATAAAATATTTAAAATATAAATTATCTCATTTCGAATTATAAATGTGTATATATTGAGGTATAATATAAAATGGATGAAAAAAAGTCTTATTTTGAGTCATTATTTTTATGTTTCCTCTAACCCGGACCCGAACCCTGGACACGGGTCCTTTTTAAATTTATTACCGAACCCGGACTCTTTTTTTTGTCGAAGGGTTCACATCCCTGGTTTATATATGTAAACAGCTTATTAATATACTCAATAATTGAAATTAGATCTTTAATTTTGGTCTCAGTCATTGTACTATGGGGATAGGTTCTAAATCGCTAAAAATTGGGAATCTGACTTATATCTCCTAGAAAATTTTAGATGCTAGTGAAGTATACACTTGTATTTAAATTGAAAATTTTAAAAAATCGCTAAAATGGAGGAAATATCATCCAAATTCCCAATTTGATTCCCAAAACTGGGATTTTGGATGATATTTTCTCCATTTTAGCGATTTTTTAAAATTTTCAATTTAAATACAAGTGTTTACTCCACTAGCATCTATTAATATTAATTTCAAATTTACTTTAAAAATTTTCTGGGAGATATAATCCAGATTCCCAATTTTTAGCGATTTAGAAATCAGCTGATTAGAGGTTCACAGCTATATCTAAAGGCATGGAACTTTATCATAATATAAAAATATTGTAGTTTTTAAAAACATTTTAAGTTATTTATCTAGTTTAAGTAGTACTTTAAATAAAATATACTTAAAATAAAATTAAGCTTCCGATTTATCTTCATGGATAGGTGCTATAAAATTTTTAAATCAGAAACCGGAAAATATTATCATTTTTGAGTATCGGCCTTTTACTTTTATAATTTTGTGGCGGAATTAACTTTATTATGAAGACTAAACCTTCAATAATATTAAATACGACTAAATTTTTTTATCCTTAAAAAAAATATTTTTGTGGAAAAGACTATAATAAAAATTTAAAATTTTATTTTGGATTACATTTCATAGAGACCTGCAAGCCCAGCCCGGATTTTAATTCTTTTTAAATAACCCCGGTCGGGCCTGAAATTTTTTTTTAAAAAAAAATACCCAAGCCGGGCCTAAAATTTTTTACGCAAGCCAGGACTAAAATTTTTTAAATACCCGGGCCAGGCCATATATTTTAAAACCAAATATTTTAAATCACCACTAATAACTATAAAAAATATATATATTTAAAAAAAATCCGGGCAGGGCCTGAAAATATAAAACCCAAGTCGGACCGAAAAAATTTTGAAAAAAAAAATCCGGGTCTGGCTTTGCAAATGGTACAGGTCTCTGATATTTCACTTTAAAAAATGGGGTATCGATCTTTGTATAATAAATAATCACTAAGACAGATATCGTTTTTACATTTTATAAGAGTAAAAATATGCTAAAAATTTTATTTAGAAGATCCATTTTCTTTTGAGAGAAAAAATAGCAAGGAATTGCGAGAAAGATTGGGTATAGAAATGATTGGAGTGGTAATGCGAAGATGGTTTGGGCATGTGGATCGTAAGACAGAGATTCACCTGGACGGAAGTAGGAGGATCACGACCTAGAGGAAGGCCCAAGATTTCGTAGATAAATGTGATAGCAGAGGGTATGAGAAAAATAAATCTTACAAATATTGATGCTCAGGACCGTCATAAATGGAAAAGAAAAATCTCAGGGAAAACTGGCCAACCTGGGCCTTGAAATCTTCATTAAACGGAAAGAAGATCCAATAAAGGATTGGGCAATCGGTAAAGATAACTTAATTTCACAATGTATACTGCTAATATTAAATTTTTCTATATTTAAATAAATTTCAGCAGGCCGACAAATAATTTTTATTTTAACTCCAAGCCGGGCTTTTAAGGATAAATAATAGGTGTTCGTTTGGGATCAGAATCGACAAATTTTCTTTTTTAAATTTGGGTCAGGCTTAAAAAATTAGGCTAATGATCACTAATAAACATATCACCAAAACATAAATTTCAAACAGTTTTTGTTCTTTATTATTGGAAGCAACTTCATCTTTGACTAGTTGAAATAGGTTATATTGCCTCTATATTGAGAATTTAATGAAATAAATTATTTAAACCATTCCAATATTTAATTTGCTTGTTTTTCGCCAATTTATACTGAACAAACAAGAAATTATATTGTGGAATTTTTTAGAGGAAGAAATGTTTTATTATATTTATATAACTCTTATAAGGTTAGAGGTGAACATATTTTACTATAACAATAATCATGATTAATTTATTCCCCTTTATCACTATCTAATCATTTTCCTCAGTTCTGAATTATATACAATCACTATCTAATAAAAAGTTATCTTCATCTTATTAAGCTTTATAAAATGTTATAAATATCAAATATTAGATAGAAAATTAAGGATTAAATGAATTTTACCTATCATATGGTTGATTTATAATTTTTCACTCAATCAGATAAAATAGATATTAAAATTTTCAAGTTTTAAGTCACATATATCAACAAAAAAATTGAAATAAAATTATTTTGGTTCAATTTTATATTTTTGCCATATTACAATATGTAATAAAAATAAAATTCGATTTCAAAAAAAATCATAAATACAAAAATGAACTTTGCTTTAACCTAAGCTCACAAATTATAAATTTCTAAAAAAAATTATTAAAATCAATAACCATAAAATTTAATAAATATACCTTATTACAAAATATTAACTGTGAAACTCAAGTCAATAATAATCTCGTTTTTGTGTTACCAAGATTATAAAATTCGTGGTGTATAAATATGTTCTCAAGGTTAAGAACTATATTGGATGCCCATCTCATATAGATTGTAACTGTTTGAAAATGTATAATATATCAAACCTATAAATCCCATCGACCTTCCTAATACAAATATCCCGTTCAAAGCTCCGTATTCGACGTAATCCCTAGCTTCTTCTGGGGTAAAACAACCGGAATGACGCAAAATGTCCACAAAAATTACGCCTATAGCACCGTCCACGTTTAATATTAAATTGGGTTTCTGTTATTAATCGAGATTTTATATAAAGTGCACTGTTAGTTATGCATTTGGTCTTATTACAAAAATAAAACTTAAATATATTATATTTAACTCCCGATTATATCTATTATAAGGAGAAAGATTAAATTCTATGGTTTAGAACACTTCTATGCGCATTTGGGTGGCGTCAAATAGCAATATACAGTTATGATACTTATCAATCAAAACTAATTAGTAATCATCCAAGAGTTAGAATATCAAAAAGTTCAAGGATCTTTTTAAAGGTTCAGAGTCGGGTGACAAATTTTTTAATGGTTCAAATTCGGTTCTGTAAATAATAACTTTGTGGATTTCTTTCAAAAATGTGATAACGCCCTTATCTAGTGTTGTCAAGCGACTCAACCGAGTATGGTTTAGTCGTGAAGTTGGGTAATCGGCTAGCCAATTTTATGGTTAAGGCTGAGCTTAAGATAAATTAACTAAGGTTGAGCTTACGATTGATTATCTAAGGTTGAGCTTAAGCTGATTTTGATTGGCTAACCTTCTGCTTTACTGTAAATTTAATAATAATTTAATTCAAAAGGGTGACAATTGTTATCGTCATTTGAAAACTTTTCCAAAGTTTTCAAGTGAAATTATGTAAAAATAAATATTTTAAATCTGTTTTAATGGAACAATACAATTTTCGTATTCGTCATTATATAACTTTTTCAATGTTTTTAATGAAAGGTAATAATTCATATTTTAAATCTGTAAAATTTAATAATGATGGAATTCATAAATGTGACAATTGTCATTTTAAAACTTTCCCAATATTTTTTAAATAAAATAGGTAAAAATCGATAAAATAATTCTTGTATAAGTGGAAATTCAATAGTAATGTAATAATTTATAAATGTAACAATTGTCATATTCGTCAATTTAAAACTTATCAAATGCTTTTAAAACATAGGCGTAAATAAAATTATATATCTTTTATAGTGTAAATTCAATAATAATGCGAATTTAGGGCGACAATTATCATATTCGTCATTTAAAATTTTCCAATATTATTTAACTAAAATATGTAAAAATTAATATTTTACATCTGTTTTTGTGAAAATTTAATGATAAGGGTGACAATTGTCATCCTCATCACTTTAAAACTTCCATTGTTTTTAATAGATATAAATGATATTCCAAATGTTCCAATTAGACAAGGTCATTAATTCTAAGTACTAATTGACGTATAATTTTTTGATTTATAATAAATATCATTACATTTACCTATTAAATAATCTTATACTACAAAAAAAATCTTGGGTTTTCTTTATATTATAACTGAATTATCTTATATTATATTGGAGTGCAATAAAAATTCAAAAAATATGTGAATATTTTTTTTTGTAATTTTGTAGATTTCATGATGTTTAGAAATGATATTTATTTTTATAGCCTTAATAAATGTATAGATAAAATACATATTATAAATAATTATAATCTTAAGATATATTTAATAAAAAGGATAAATCATTTTATTATCATTTTTTTATTATTATCAACTATTCTATGAATTAATAGCAACGTTGTTAAAGTTCTGGAAAAATTGCTGTACCAGTATCAAGATATATTTTTATAAAAGTATCACTATCTAGATACTATTTTCGAGGTATCTGTATCTATTTTTAAATACATTATGATATTTTTTATTTTACGTTATTTTATATTAAAAATGATAATATAAGTTAAATTCATTAAATATTATATTAGCTTACTTCATTATAAAAATAAACCAAACAAATTTGATTTTAGCAATGGATGATGAAAATATGGTTTAATTTTAATTATATTAATTTTAAAAAATTATATATATCATAATTTTTAAAATTATATATATCATAATTTTTTAGATGATCATTTAGTAGTGATTATGAAGAAACAGAAGAAATCATCAACGAAGCACCAAAGAGATCTTTGATTTTTCCTTGGCCCATTTATAAAACATTTTTTTTAAAACGATCTCAAAATAAAACCAACAAATTTCTGATAAAAAAATGTTGGACATTCCATAAGATGCCCAACTTTCAGTTAGAATTTCTCCATCATATAACATTATAAAAAATTGAAAGGTAACAAAATATCAATAAATATTTACACAATTCTAACATATAATTTTAAACTTCATCCTTATAATTATGGAGGTACCAATATTTATTACGGATCGGATCTGAACGATATTTCACCCATTTTAAAATATCGGTTATCGGCCAATATTATAAAATTTTCCGATCCGATATAAAATGGCGTCTTTAACAAAAATTAAATGTTATAAAATTTTTAAAAATAAAATCGAAATCCATTTTTATTTATTTTTTTTAATAATAATTAATTAATTAACATTCTGTCATATTGTTATTTTTTGCGCATTCTGTTTATAAGTGTGCGATAATCTCTTCAGAATCTGTTTTTAGTGAAGCTGGTGATATTGACAGTTACCATCGCCGCAGGCTGACCTCTGATAAATTTGAAATTTTGGTATTTGTAAAAAGAAATCTTCGATATATTAATGTTAAATATTATTTTAAATCAAGTGATTTAACAATAAAAATATTTTATATACTTTTAGAATTGCAATTATATTGAATATAAAATATAACTGATCATTATAATATATTTAAGTGACATAAGTTATGATACAGTTAAATTATAGATGTTATACTAATAAAAATTATATTAAAAATTAAAACCATTGGTATCTTTACATAATACAAAATGAGATATGATATCAGATCGGTAATCGGCCGATATCAATTTAATATAGGGAATATCGGATCGGCCTCCAAAAAGTGGTATCGGTACACCCCTACTTATAATCTTGATTGCATTTGATTTCAAAATGCAAAAGATTTACAGAAAAAATTTAATTAAACTGATTGTAAACACAGATAATCTCTAAAAAATATCAAATAATTTAATAGATATTTTCAACACTTCTTAGAAGATATTAATTTTGACACCCATTTTAAATGATTCTTTTAAAAATAAAACTTAAAGATTATCCTAATATTAAATTGTTATTCATAAAATAAATGTAGCACCATTCTTCCACTAATCCATGGAAAAATAACAAATTGTAAAAATATAAAAATAGTAGCTAATAATTTATATATAAAATATCTGAAAAAAAAAAAGAATTAATAAAATTCTTATGTAAATTTTTACCATTTTTAATTATATAAGCTATTTAGTAGTTTAGTAGAATATTTAGTATTAATAATAAAAAATGATTTATACTTTTTATTATATCAAAAATTATAATTATCTACAAAATGTATTTAATCCAAACATTTATATTTATTAGACTATAAAAGTAATATCACTATAAAACAGGGTAAAGCTTATAAAATACACAGAAATTATAATCATATATTTTCTAAATTTTTATTGCATTCCAATATTAAATAATTTCGTTATAAATAATAGTATATTTATAATCAATTAATCAAAAAACCTTCTAAACTATCCAACATTTAAGGATTCTGAACCTGATCAACCTGCAATAATGCCGATTTATACAAATTTTGATACTTCATTTGCAACTTTAATGAATGTTTATCATATTAAGATGTTTTTATTTTTTTTTAAAAGTGAATTAATAAAATTCAATTTGCATTAAAAAATATAATAATTTTCTATTTTTTTAATGCTCAAAGTGGTAAAAAAAAAAGTTTTACACAACTGAAGTTCAGAACTCGAGTAGCGACTTGAATTTAACGAAATATGAGTCGAGTTATTGTGACTGTGACTTGGAGTCTGAGTCGCAATAACTCGACTATTTAAAAACACTACCCCTTATCCTTTAAAATTAGTATAAATTAACAAAATATTTTTAATGATCTATTTTATATAATTAATATTCCTTTATTTTCACGTTAAGAAAAAATCATATAATTAAAAAACAGATTTTTCTGAGTTTTATAAACCTTGGAAGTGAGAATTTTTTCAACTTCCAGAGCGTAATTGAGTAATGGAGTGGGACGTAAATGACTTTTAGCGTATTCCTTCAAGATTACTACCCGTTGGTCAGGATTATTCAGCTTAATTCGTCGAAGTTTGCAAGAAAAAATTAAATATTACTTTGCATTATATTTAATTTATTGTGCCTGCCATTTATATGAAAAATATGAAAATTTATTTGTAGATAATCAAGAATTACCGGCAATTGATTGCAAAAAAGTTCGATTTTTTTAAATTTACCGATTTAACACGATGCCCTATGCCCATAATGAGTTTGCCTTCCTTGCGAGTAGAGTTAACAAATTCCATAGCTATCATCCTTTGGTCATAATAAGCTTGACTAAATTGTTTAGCTGCTGCGTCTAAGGCCCCGCCAAACCTATCGCCCTAATTTATAATGTTTTATATAAGATGCCTGCAGCCATATTAAAACTGATCAATTTTTTTTAAATTGGATGAGATATATTTCAAATTAAAACAGGTAACTCAAATAAAGAACAGTATTAAAGATTAGGAGATATAGGTTAGGGTCAGGCGCGTAACCAATGGGGGCGCGTAACCAATGGGAAGGGAAGGGGGAAATTCCCCCCCATCGCAAATTTGACTATTTTCATAAATATCATTTTAAGCTAATAAAAATTTTACCCCCACCCCCCAGAACCCCCCCCCCCACCAATCAAAATTTTACAAATATTTGAATATCAATTTTCCAACATATTATTCAAAAATATTAATAAAATGGAAAAATATTTAGTCAAAGAGATTGAAATCAAACGATAATTTATAAATAAGGCTGAGCATGAAAAAAAGTAATGTGTCATTAGCAGCGATATCATTATTGAATTCAATTGATCAATCAGAGTTTATCATTGCTGCTAGTTGCATCAATAAATTATTTTTAGCTCACTACTTTGTAGAAATTTACAAAAACCAAATTTAGATTTGGTTCAGGTTATTGATTTGGCGGAAAATATACATGAACAGGTAGATACAATAAGAATGAATGTAGATAAATATTTTCATAATATTTATCTAGACGTTGAATCGAAGGCTAAATTTTATGATATAATACTAATTAAACCTCGTCTAGCACCTAGGCCATTATTGAGATGAAGATAAATATTGGCTCAACTGAAGAATATTATAAAATATCCATTTTCATCCCATTCTTAGATACTTTTTTATCGCAAATAAAAGTACGGGTTTTAGATAAAAAACAAGTCTTTAGCAATCTTCAAGTTTTATTACCCAAAGATCCTTCTTCATTTTCAAATGCCACTATTGGTAAAATTAAATATTTAGAAAAATTTTATTCCTATGAGATTGATACTGAAATAAATTTAATCAGTGAATTCGAATTGTGGTACAAATATTTATACGTTTAGCTATTTTACCTGAGCATGCTATTGATGCGCTCAATCGGTGTAAAGAAACCTTGGCTCAATTTCCTAATATTTCGAAGTTGTTTTATATTCTTGCATGTTTGCCTATTACAACATGTACGAATGAAAGGACTTTTTCTAACTTGAGAAGGTTGAAAACATATTTACGAAGTACTGACTCTCGGCTAAATGGGTTAGCTCTGTTAAATATACACAGAGATTTGGTTCCAACGACAAACGAAATAATTAAAAATCTTGTATTTGATAAGAAGTTAAAAAAACTTGTTAATTTAATTATTTTCTAGTCAATATTTTAAACTACTATTAGTATTTTCAATAAAAAAAGTATATTCTACTTATATTGTATGAGAATTTAAGCTGAGGCTAGTTTTTAAAGCAAATTTTATAAAAAAAATGACATTACACTTTATTTCAACTTTACATTTAAAAAAACTTTATTAAATATAATATACCTAACTTGAAATAATAAAAAAGAGGCTTGTAATATCCTATCCATAAGCACGAATTAGTAAATAATAGTTAAAAATAGAAATATAATTATTATTAAATTATTCATAATTTAATAGAATGGCTAAATAAGACCCGGCCAAAGGCGCCATTTCCCCCCCTATAAGAAAATCCTGGATACGCCACTGGTTAGGGTTAATATATATTAAAATAGTTTTTAATAAAATTTAATCATTTTTATTAATGGCCTCTTGAGTTACAACTAAATCGTTAAAATTAGCCTATTACTATGGAGGTTTAAAAAATTTATTTCTATATCATTTATTGTGAAGCATTAAATAATCTCCTTTTAATATTGCACATCTGTATTAAATGCAAAAAGAAAGAAATAAGAAATGAGATAGGAAAATAAAAATTCAAAATGAGAGAAAATGTTATTCTTAAAACAAAAATGATAAATATCATTGGCACTATATTTGGGCAAAACCTAGTTTTTAACTTAAAACTATCACATCGACCTCGAGTTTTTAATATAGTTAACTTTAAAAGAGAGCCTGCAGATTTGGCCGAATTTTAGCTATTACTTAGATATAAACCAACCCGATATTAGCAAATATGTTTAAACTAAATTCATATCAAATTTTGCTAAAGATATGTAATGTAAAGAAATAATTTTAAAAAAGTTCTTATATCATTGATTTTAAAAAAAATCCAAAAATAATGGACATTTTATTTAATTTTGAAACAGAAATTGTAAATAAATATGGGCTAGTATTATATGATTTACCCAAGGTGGGAAGATAATTAATAGAATTATTGTGGATGAATATCACATATATAAAATACTCTTTCTAAATTCTAGAAAAACAAGAATGAATGGTGAAAAGAATAGAAGTGAGAAACTAGAAGAAAGAAATTAAAGCAGATTTGGATCATTTTGTATTTTTAAAATTTACGATAGTCAAAAGGCCAGAAGCTAAGCAAGAGACTAAATCCTTTCCGGCCCTAGCGCACACTATAGTATTGTGGGCTCCACTAACTGCTGGCCCATGGTCTGCGGTTAAAATTAAGCACATCTCTATGAAACGAGCCGCGTGATAAGGCAGTCTGTAAATTTAATATATTTTTATATCAAGCTTATTTTTCAATTTTTTCCAAGCAATACCTACAAAACTTGAGTTATTTTTATAAGTGTATAATTTGTTATGGAAATTTTACTTGAATTATAGTATTAAGAAGTGATAAAATCAGCAAATCCTTCATTTTCTACTTATGCATATATTTTTTTTAAACCTTCAATTGAAATGTATATCAAATAGTTCATAAACCTCCTTTGGAACCAGAGCAGGCTAATAACGTCTCCTATACCCAACCCTTGTTCAAATATGCGGGTTATAGGCATGCCTGCATATAGTAATTCCTGACCACGTTCATCACAAATTGAGGTCATAAAGGAAGCCGGTTTACGGATTAGTCCCAGCTCCTATTAGTTTTATAAGTATAAAAGCAAATGCAGAATTGGTTTAATATATATATTTAATTTTGACATTTCTAAATATTAGAAGTGTTAAATTTTTATACTAACATTTCAAAATGAACTAAACTAAGAAAAATTTGGGATGTTTGTTAAATCAGATAAAGAGTGAGGTAGTAATATATATATAAACACTTTAAAAAAATTACTATTTGGCCTTAAAAAATTTAACATAATTGCCCATTTGTAAAGTAATCATTCAGATAGGTACATATGCTATCTAAGTTCAGGTCTGGTAATCTTAGGTAGAATATGACTCTATTCAACCTTTCTTTATTAATTGAACCAATTATAAGTTAACAGCATCTAAATTTATTGTGAAATATTCTCAACATTCAAAAACTTAAATCCTTCATCACACGAATATGATCTATCCTTTATATAAAAAATGGTTCTGAAGCTAATAATTAAAATTATATAATTTTTTGACCAATCAATTCCAGAGTTGTTAAACGCTATTTTTAAAAGTAGCGCGCTACCGTAATAGCTGTTTGTCAAAAAAAGTAGCGCGCTACCGCTTTCGCTATTTGTCAAAAAAAGTAGCGCGCTATTAGCTACTTTTTATAAAAAAAAATTTAGAAACAAATGAAACAAATTTTTTTTATTTTTTTTTTCTTATAATGTAAATGTATAATAAATAATATATAAAAATCAACATTTATAAATATAAAAATATAGTTAGTTTAGATTATAAAAAAATAAGTAATATAAATAAATATTTATTTTAATTTGTTGCATTTTAATAATAATATCATTTCAATATTATCATCCCCAAGTCTAGAGCGACGATCAGAAAGTATAAGCTTTGCTTTACTAAATAATCTCTCGACACTAGCACTTGAGGGCAAGGGGGTATTAAATTTTATATATAAATTTTTAATATATGAAAAATTATCAAAAATATTCATTTCAATATTTTTTGATTGAAAAAAAATATCAATTGGATTTTCTATTAAATCATCTTTAATTTCAAAAAACAGATCTTCTTTTTAAAGTCCTAGGGTCTAACCAATGGCCTGTGATTCCCAAATAAGCTCTAAAATTATTTAATCAGATCAATTTATAAATATAAATAAGTTTTTACCTTCTGTTATGTGTCCAACTATCTGCTATGGTACATACATAAGATATATCTGATAACTCTACTATTAGAGCATCTTTCATCACTTTGAAGTTGTCGGCTATTTTATTCATAAGTGTCTGGCGACATAAACTGTTGTGCCAGGGGATAAAGTTTTAATCATCAGAGTAAATGATGGATTATCAACCAAAGACACTGGCTGAACTGTGTCAATAATAAAATCAACAATAACTTTATCAGCCAATTTTTGTGAAATATTGGCATGTTTATTATCCGTTAATTTTGTTTGGATAGTATTTGTCTTTTTGAATGAAGATTCTCCTCTACCAAAATTTTTTATATGTTTCTCTATTTCCTTATAGCAATTGGCGTGAACAGTCTAATAAAATAAATATTATTATAATGTAAAAATAACAATTTACCTTTAGGTGTTTCTTCAGGTTATAGCTACTCGATTGATTTGATGATATATTTTTTTTACATTTTAAGCACATGAATTTGAATCCAGATTTTGTTTTAATATTTATTTTAAAAAATTTTTCAAATTTAGGGAATGGAAAAACGTTATTAGAGCTATTAAGTACATTTTCTTCCATTGAATCTTCCATATCTGAATCACTTTCAAGGATTTGGATATCCATGGACGATGCCATTTTAGATTATTAACACAGATTGAAAATATAAATTAAAAATTGAAAACATATTTAAATTTCAAAATTAAATAATAAATTATAATTAATTATGATATTATATTTAAATTTTTATGTTTATACTTACATTCATTATATTTTTAAAAGTAGCGAAGTAGCGCGCTACTTAGCTACTTTTAAAAAAAGTAGCGCGCTAAAAAATTAAATAATTTTAAAAAAGTAGCGGCTATTAGCTATAGCTACCAAAAAAGATAGCGCGCTAAGTAGCGCGCTACTTTAACAACTCTGATCAATTCAATAATTAAAAACTCACGCAAGCCCAATCGTAATCCATTGGTACGGTTGGAGGAGCCGTCTCCTTCCTGATCTCTATCTTGCCTTCTTTGACGAGCGATTGGAAAGTTTCTCTTATAACCTCACCCAAGGTGTCGAAACTAGATGGTGTTATTGCGCCGCACTCTTTCAAGGCTCGATTCTTAGCAGTAGCCGTTTCCGCTTCAGCCTCGGCCATTGAGCCAGCATGACCAAATTGAACCTGCAAAATAGTTTTTAAATTATAGAGTAAATAATGATATTATTTACATTATTTTAGCCTAATTAAAGATACTTTTGAAATATTTTTATAAGTAGAACTATATGCATCTTGAAACTTTCAAAAGGCTCAGATATTGGATCAGGAACATTTAAGGGAATCGTTCAATCTTAAAAAATGGCGGCTTTTCAGTTATTGTTGTATCGATTGTTGTTTTAGGTTTTTTCCCCAACCCCACTTTCAATATCTAATCAAAATATGTGCAAATTATTTCTTACGTCGGAATTGAACTTATTAGCGCACGTTCCTATACACCATGCCACGAGAGGCTTTGTCAATTTCTTGTTCTTTAGGGCGTCGCAGATTCTGTATTCTTCCACCCCACCTACCTCCCCGAGAACGACCATCATCTTAACATCAGGATCCGCTTGAAACCTTATCAAGTGGTCCAAAAAAGTTGTGCCCGGGTATCTGTAAAAAGTATTGTGGAATAAATAGATCAACATTTAAATAAAAAGTTGGAGTCTTTCAGCAGAGAATTTAATATTTAAAAAATGAACACCATCAATTCGGATAAGGAAGCTTAAAAATAGTATTTTGAAATGTTTTTATACTCGATATATTTTTAAATTAAAATTTTTATGATTTTTTTTTTCTATAAACAAAATTCAATAATTTTTGCTGAGTCTGGTATCTGGTTAACTGGATGGTGGATAGAAACCTTTGCTTTTAAATATCTAAAAAAATGGCCTTCTTATTTTCCACCCCTTATGCGTGGAAATACGTCACAATACCTGACCATTGTTTCCCCAAAGTCATCTAAATTTTTGAGATTTAGAAGCTCAATCAAATAAAATTTAAATCTTACAAATTCCCATAACGTTAATTTTAAAATTTAATTCTGATTATTAAATAATATTTTATACCTATCCCCTCCTATGGCAACTCCTTCGTAGGCCCCATCCGAATTTCTTGAGAGAATATTATTAAGTTCGTTGGACATACCACCTGACCGACTAACGTAGGCCACAGATCCGGGCCTATATAATTTGGAAGCTAGAACGTTGTCAAGCATACCACCCGTGTTACCTGTAAATTGCGTTTTGATTGATAAAACAAATTAGGCGATTGAGTTATAATAAAAAATAATATTGAGCTGTATACTTTCAAGATTTTCTTCTGTTAAATTATATTTATAAGGAGAAGGAATACATTTTAGAATGATTCTATAGAGAGTAACTGGCACTCAATTATACATATCACTCAATTATACATATCAATCAATCAAAATGAATTGATGCTAAAAACATTTAAGATATCCAAACCCTTTTAGTATGGTACGGGTGAGAGATATAATTCGGGTTGGGCTCAGTGACTGATAACTGTTTATTATTTCAGAACCTTGAAAAAAATCGTATATAGATCAAGAAATTCTTATTCAATTCAGTTCCAAATCAGATTTTTTTTAAAGGTCAAACTTCAATATCAAAATCCAATTGATGTGATTTATAATAACATTATGTGTCTATAGGGATTATAATATATAATAAAAAACTTCTAGCAAATAACTATCAGTGTCTGATAAAATGAAATTTTAAAAAACCTATTTTGAAGCAAGCAGGCTTGATGGCGCCAACAGTAGCAGGTCCTATGAGGGTGACGGCCGATCTTTCCTTACTCTTGAGCTTCAAGGCATGGGCTATAAGAGATTTAGTCAAGTTTTCTGGTATCCCCTCAGCGATTATGGCTATGGTTCGAATCTAAGTAATGACACAGAAAAAAATAAATGTTAAATCAAATATTTTTTTAAATAGTACTTAATTTATATCTAAAAAATGTAAAAGTTTTTAGACAAGATCTAATTGATAAGAATTTGGGTGCAAGAATTCCAGAATATTCTTATTGATGAAGACAGACAGATAAAGTAGATAACATAATATTATGCTTTTAGTGATCTCAGCGCTATAAAAACAACTTAAGAACATAATAAATAAAGTTCGGTCAATTCCATGGTATGACCTAATATTTAAAAAAATTGTCAACCGGGTTAAGACGATTTTAAAAACCTAACAACACCGATTCGTTTCAAGCAGTCCAGATTTTATACTAAATATAATGATCAAACATATTATTGAACCTGGGGGTATTTCATGCATTCCAAGGTACTCTCATAAGCGGATCGGAGAGAAGCGAAGTTTATCAAGACATCTGTGTCAGGGTGCTTTTTCATGGCATCCTCCATTTTCGCATAAACTAAAAAAAGCAAAAGGGAGAAATAAGGTATGAAAAGTCAAGAAAATTACGTTTTTAATAGACAAGGTACTATTATAACCAAATTATGACGCAAGTTAAAAATATATATTACACTAAAACAAATCTTATACAACAAAATATAATATATGGTAGTAAATAGATATTTTTCCCCAAACCCGGAATCAAAATTTCTTTGTGGCCCCAATAAAATTTAGCACTGTGATCGCCAGTGAAAGGGTATACCATGGCTGAGACGGAAGGATTAATTCTAGAACAGGAGTAATCGAAATCAAGCATGCTTTGAACGGCCCTCAGCTGGAGACCCCATATTATAGAACGAGTATTTTTCCTGAAAATTATAATTATTTTTAAAAGTTCGTATATTAGATGATATTTGAAAAGGATAGTTTATATTTCTCCTTTTTTCAGAGCTATGTGATTCTAATCTCAATTTTGTTATATAATTTTTGTTTTTAATTCTAGCCTTTTTTAGTCGCATAGAAAGGTATGTTTGAAAAAGACCCGGTATGACCAAAAAAGCTAAATATTACCTTCCCTCACCTAACTCAACCTTTTTTATGACATACTCTAAAAAGTCTCATATTTTTACCTAGCATAATTGGATATATATAATTAAAATATCAATTCGATACATATATTTTAATATTCTTTTAAACGCTAGCATCTATTATAATGTAAAAATTAAAAGATTAATTATTAAAAATGAGAGACTAACGTGAACAAAAGGTAGTCCTCTTTTGCCTGTATTATGTGGACATGATTAGGCATCACAGATGATGACTGTTTTTCTTTCTTTTTGCTAGCGCAATCTCCAGCAACACTGACGTTGGATATGTTTTCTTTACCTAACGAACCTGGGCATGTATTACTAATACCCAGTTCGGGACCATTTTTCTATATTAAAACAAATATTAAAGAAAATTAATGTGGCATGTATATTATGCTCATAAAAGGTAAAAAAAAAAATTTAAAAAAGGACGACAAGTACAAAATGGTGGGGGGGGGGTAAAAAGGTTAAAAGAAATGTCAAATCAATCACTTTTCGGCCGACCCCTTTCGATTTCGATGAAAAATCGTAGGCTGGTTATATATGTTCCCATTAGATTATAAACAAAATTTTAGCGGATTGGCAACTATATTAGTGAAGATATTCGGGGTTAAATGTCTAAAAAACGTCTTTTTTTGCTTTTTACTGATGTTAAATAATTAGTTTTTAATTTTAAACTAAATATGATCAAATATTGAATATAATATCAATAGCTAAGTTAATAATTGATGATTATGGCGAAAACATCAAAATTAATTTTTGATAAAATATGGGTCATCTTATGGTCAGTTGAAAACTTGAAATTAATATTTCGAAATGTATATGATCTCCGATTTTTAATTTTTTTAAGAAATATTATCCGTTTACTATTTCTTTAATAATTTCTTCAACAATTAGCATGGCTGGATATTTATTTTAAAAAATATTGCGATTTTTATACTTTTAAAAAAATAGATGGCGCTATATATAATAGTTTTAATATGTTAAAATTCATTTTTTTTATTGATTAAAAATATTTTAATGTATATATATCATACTAAATCGATTACAATGTCCATTATATATATTTATTTGTAATTCAGATCATAAATTTTTAAAATCTTCACAAATTTAGCCTAATTAAGATAGTTTATAAATTAATTAAATCTTACTTCATCTAAAGGAATACAAAGCCTGGCTAGCTTGTGAGATTTCTTCAGGAGATAATATATATGTTTGACTGGTGGGAGTAGAAGGATTGACCAGCGAGAGAATATGAGATTTAGGCAACACAAAAATATCTTTCAGAGGAAATTTAAATGAGGCTGAAGGTCTACAAGGCTGTAAAAATCGGATTTTTACTTCTTCATTTATATCATTTTTATCGATTATATATCCTAACTACCATTTATCATCATATAAACATGTTATATATCCATTAATAGTTTAAAAATTAATTTTCTCATTTAAAAACGAAACTTGTTTTATATTATATTTTTTGGAATTAGAATATATTTTGGTTTTTAGTCTATTTTGATCAATGGGAATAACCCCGTGAATTTTTTGGGTCCCATGTATAAGCAGTGCATTAAATCTTTTACGAAGGGCTAATTCCTCTTCGATATATTCTTGATTGGATACATATTCAAATTGAATTCCATTAATATTTTCTTTAGCATAATTATATAATTCTAATGGGGTTAGGATTTGATTTTTATTTGGCCTTTGAAGACTAGCTCAGTTCCTCCGATACCGTCACATGCATTTTTGCCGTGAGCAGTGGCAAAGAAATGCCATTCGGCAGGAATATTAAAATCGTATTTATAAAGGCATATGTTCAGAAAAATTTTGCGATTCTTGTATTGACGCGGCTTCATCTGAAAAATTTTTTTTTTTCTGGTTTAGAATTAAATTTGGATAAAATAACAAAATTTATATTTTTAATTATTCTCCAGATTTATATGCTACAAATGGATGTATAGTGGTCTGCACGTTATACCAATGAAATCCCTGAACTTCATCTTGTAAAATGAAGGAATAATTCTCAGAACAATCTAGAATTGTTAAAAATTCCCCATCTTTTAAATTTTTCTACATTTGTCATTAATTTCACATTCTGATGAATGGCGCAGACACAAACAATGTGTGTGCCACTAGCTCCAACTAAAATACAGTTTTTTGGTCTAAGTTCGGCAAATTTAGAGAATCCAATTGATATATTTGGGTATTCTTCCTTAAACATCTTGAATATTTATTTAAGCTTATTTAATATAAGTCTTTGGACTGATTCTTTCTCACTTTTAACAGATACACAATCTTTTATTCCAGGCATGAGTCGGCTTATTTCATCAGAACTATAATTTTGTTTATTTTTATTGCTTAAAATTTTTTCAAAATCTTCGAAATTTTCTTTATCTCTGGTTATTTTAATAATTGAAGATAATGACAATTTCATAACATTCTTGATCTTGATGGGTATGACTTAGTCTGGGGGGGGGGGTGGAGGGTTGGGGGTAGGCCTGGTAATTAATGTGATTTTCAATTTTTCCCTTAATAATTTTCCTGCATTCCTTTAATCTTGCTTTTTTGTTCGTGTGCTAGTCTGATTTTTTAATTATTTTTAATTTACATTGAAATATTAAAAAAATTATTAAAATTTTTTATCCTGGGAATATCTCTGGGGAATAAGGTTTACAAAGTTATATAATAGAATTTTATGATATATTATACATTAAAATAAATATTTTTAATCAATAAGAAAAATGAATTTTAACATATTATAATTATTATATATAGCGCCATCTTTTTTTAAAGTATAAAAATCGCAATATTTTTTTAAATAAATATCCAGCCATGCTAATTGTTGAAGAAATTATTAAAAAAATAGTAAACGGATAATATTTCTTAAAAAAATTAAAAATCATAGATCATATACATTTCTAAATATTAATTTCAAGTTTTCAACTGACCATAAGATGACCCATATTTTATCAAAAATTAATTTTGATGTTTTAGCCATAATTATCAATTATTAACTTAGCTATTGATATTAGATTCAATATTTGATCATATTTAGTTTTAAATTAAAAACTAATTATTTGATATTAGTAAAAAAACAAAAAAGACGTTTTTTGGACCTTTAACCCCGATTATCTCCGCTAATATAGTTGCTAATGCGCTAAAATTTTGTTTTTAATCTAATGGGAACATATATAACCAGTCTACAACTTTTTATAGAAATTTAAAGGGGTAGGCCGAAAATCTTGATTTTTTTGCTCATTTGACATGGAATAACCCACAAGCGAATAATAAATTTTAAGAGATTAAAGTAAATGAAACAACCATTCCACTGGAAAGCAAGAAATTAGCCGTCGTTTCAGAGGGTAAGGGTTCAGGTGCGATATCTGTTACGCCAAGGGCCATTCCAACTATAGCTGTCATGTGGGTCTCAGGACCGTATACGTATATGGGAACTCCTTTCAAAGTTTTGCCTTTTGCATAGTATAATAAATTATTATAATTTACATATCGATTAGCATTAAATATGGAGTATTTTTATTTAAAAAATTACGTTGCATACAGGGTTTTTTTATATAAATTATTAAAAAATTTTAAAGCCATAAAAAGCATAGCTATTCTATCATTTCAAAAATAAAGTATATGAAAATTTTAAAATGTAATATATATTGAAAGATAGAAAACAACAACACATTAAATTAATATATAAATAAAAAGGCGTATTGTCATGTCACCACCTAATAATATGAATATTACCATTTCTATTTCTAAAAATTTGGAGTGACTATTGCATGATTATCACATAAAAATCAAGATGCATTACCCAAATTTTTCATGATCCGTAATCCCTCTTGATAATTAGGCCCAGCTCTCCTGACATAAATCTTAGCACTGACTTTACACAGGTCGGAATGGAATTCGGTCAAGGCTCTTACTATGCCTTTGAAGGTGGAGGCCACATTAGTGAAATTTGCTATACCTCCTCCTATAATGAGCACTTTGCCACCTGTTATATTTTGATTTTTATAATAGAATAAGCTTTGTTACATTATTCAATTATGGTGGTGTACAGGTGAGCTTATTTTGATGAATTAAACAAAAGACAAGCATTAAAGAAATCAATTCTACTGAAGCATTTAAGGCAAATTATTTTCCTTTAACCAAAAAATAACCCAACCTTAAAAGAGTATTTTGTGGTGAAATAGAATGATTAAAAGCAACATTTGAAAAACCTTCTCTCGGATTTCTAGTCATGAGAGATAAAACGGTTTTGGCGTACTCATAGGTTTGGGACTCGCTAGGAGCCCCAGAATATTCTCCATAATTGGCTAGATCGTCGGCCCCACCCAGGTCACAAATCGTATCGCTTGCCATATTAAAATAATATTTAAAATGCTATTACATTCTTCGGTAAGAGTTAAGATATGATATAAAACAAAATAATGAGCGAGAATTATAATAGTCTTTACAGGATAATGAATCGCACTTAATTAGCTCTAGGACTGTAAAAAACGAGTTTTTTCTCAAACTTAAAAGCAAAAATAATAAATATGCACATATATCCTTTTAAAGAAAAACAAGCTAATTTATAAAATTGTATTTAAATTAGGTAAAAATAATCATAGAATGTTTCTACCAAATTAAACTGGAAATAAATTAACCAAGACTCCTGGACAATATTATTAATTTGGTTAGGAATGACATATTCTTATAAATCAAATTTAATATTAAAATCAATGATTTAAGCACGAAAAAAGTCATAATAGGTAATAAAATATATATAATAAAAAAATATAGAAAAAAGATTAAAAATAAAATTCTGCTTACCTGTATATGACTGATGCCCCTCCACCTGCCACCATAGTCCAAATCCTGCCGTTAGGATTCAAAATAGTCAATTTCAGAGAGGCCCCACTTTTAGCATCAAGGTCCCTGATGTATTCTTCCTAATTATAGCAACAATATATTCGAATATTATTTGAAATCTTTTTCCAGAATCTCCACATTGTTTTTAGATTTTGTGTGATAATCGAAACAAATAACCACCGTTCAAAATTAAAGAAGAAAAATAGGAAAAGTGAATACACAAATAGCATCGTTAGATTCTTATTATAGAATTCTAACTCTAAATTTGATCAAAATTGTTAAAATACACCACTTTAATTTAAACAAATTACAAAAATTATTCTTTTTATATAATAAAATAAGGCGTTTCTTGTGAAGTTGACAAAAGATCGTTTTTTTGTAAAATTGATGGTGGAGTTATATAAAACTCTATGCCAATCAGAGACAACCTATTTTTATAAAAACGAACAAAAAAAAGAATTATGAAAAATGGAGCTAGCTATAAAATAAGATCGATTTAAAATAATATAAGTATAAAATTAATTACTTCGGGATAAGCCCTACGACCAAAAGGCGGGGGATAGGTCATTTCACCCCATTTCGCTTTGCAAAGGTACTCGGCGCATGTGTCAATTTTGGCTGCCACATCCAGAGCGCATATGGAATTATCCTCGCTTTTCATCACTTAAATGCGGTATGAAAATAGTGTTTATAATAAATGATTATATATTTTGATTTTCTAAAATGGGGTATATATTTTTAGTCACAATTAGGAGGTGGGTCACAAAATAAAGGCAGTTTTTTTGATTGAACTCTATATTTGTTGGATAGTCAAATCGAATCAACTATATTTAGTTGCTTTCCAGTAGGCCTATCCAATAGTGAACTGAATAATTATTCGTTTAAACATATTGAATAATTTATCATTGGAATAAAATCCGAATAGTATTTATTATTTATAAGAATCAATATGAATAGTAAATTATTTAAGTTGCAAATCAAACAAATAATGCATATTTGATTTGTATTTGAATAAAGTCCTATGGATATTTCAAAACCGTTTGACTCAATATAAGAATTTATTTTTATAATAAAAATAATTTTAAAATGCTTTTATAGTGCAACCTTTAGCTGTATATAATTCTAATATTTTCTGGTTAAATTGTTTTTCAACTCTTATGCAATATCAAATAGAGTAAAATGATCAAAATTTATATTTTTATACCCTTTATACTAAACTGTGATCAAAATAAATATTAAGAAACTTTCATTTTCCAAACGTGCAAAAATATGTAAATATTTGCATGAGAATATGATTAACAGAGTTGGGCAGTACTGCGAATACTTATATCTAAGATACAAAATCCTTTTGTATCTTGTACTCAGTATCTTATTGACATTTTTAATAAGATACTAGTATCTGTATCTAAGATTCTTTACTTTGAAAAGAATCTTGTATCTTTTTCATTTTCTTTAAAAAGATACAGATACAGATTCTTTTTAATATTCATATTTAACCCTTTAGGTTCCCTCATAAAATTAATATGTTGCAACACGATATTTAGTAATTTTTTTATTGATTCTAGTATAATATAATATAAAACACACAAAAAAAGTTTTTTAAATTCAAAATGGCGGCTCTCCCTGGTGGTTTCAAATTCATATCATTGACACCTTATGGAAACTTTCGAAACAGTTTCTATTTTTATTTAGACATAGTGGTACGTTGCATGATTTGCACGACCACCTTGTTCTTCTGGGATTTAACTTTGTACTACAGAAGGTACACCTTCGTGAGGTTCCTGCCTGAGGTTGATGAGCTGAGTTTTTTAGTCTAATTTCTGGAAGGATATAAGCTTTATTATTTTTTCTTTGCATTGATATATAATTATTATCATTATGAATATTATCATCCCTATTAACATTTTTACAGTATACCAATTCGCTAGCAATTATTTGTCTTCGGAATTCTTTCGATGAGAGTTTATTATCTGTAAGAATATTGTATATTATGAATGAATTGATAATCGCCGCATCTATCAGCCAAAAAAATATTGGTAGTCACCATTTTCGCCACTTTCGCGAAATTTCATATAAAGACTTGAAATGGTCAACAGACCCCATATATTTATTATACATCTTTATCATTATTGGACATTTTACGTCAAATACTTCCCCTTTTTTATTTTTTCTCTTCACAGTATCCACTGATCTCGGATCAATATAATTGGGCATTATAAATAAGTCACGATTATCTCGCCATTTAATTATACTTATATTATTTTTGTCACTTCTCCAGTCAAACTCACCTCTTTTTAATTTTGTTTCCATATTCTTTATGGGCAAGTATCTCCTATTTTTGTTTAGTGTTCCGGTAGCATATATACCTTTCTTTTTTAAATCGATCAATTTCAATTTGATAAGGTGTATCCGATTCATAATCATCACTATCAATTTGGTAACGTGTATCCGATTCATAATCATCTTCGGAATCAGTGGATGAGTTGTCTAACGAAGAACCTTCAGATGGAATGTCCAGATAATCATCCATATATATAACAAGCTAAAATTATTGCGAAATGAGTTGGCAAAATTTATCAATTATTTAAAAAAATAAATATTAAAAATATTGTTGTTAAGTGGCAGTGGTTAGTTTAATATACCACATTAAAGAGATCAAAATAATATATAAATATTATTTATTTGAGCAAAAATAAATATTAGAAAGATAGATAAAATAGTGAGGAATATATACATTTAAAAATATTTGATAAATATACTTACTTATAATTAAAATTGGAATTTTAAGAAAAATCATCGTAAAAAACGTATTTTGAAATAAAGGCGCGAAAAAAAAATTAAAAAATAACTCCTCCACAAACATATGAAAAAGAATATCTTTTAATATATATTCGTGGTGGTTTCATTTTATATGATTAACTCCTTTAGAAGATATAAAGGTTAAAAGGTGGTTTTATATTTGCACTACCGCGACCGAAAGGGTTAAAACATTTACATATCACACAATCTAACTTTATTTTCTTCGTGAAATCTTGTATTATTTTCTTTATTTTTTCCTGCTATATTTTAAATATATTGATAACCAAAATTAGTTGGAAATTTTACAGATCACAAAGATAGAAAGATTAAAAATAACAACACCAAAACTAAATAAGTAAAGGTTATATTTTATATGAAATATTTTTTAATCTGTTGAATGTTTAACATTTATAGTAGTGAAGATGAAATTATGGAGATAGGTTCTCCTGAATCAAATCCGAATCTTAAAATTCTAGATGGAAAATTTTATAAATTAATTCATGTGAAAAAGGACAAGGTACAAGCCGAATGTCAAAATTGCACAAGTAAAAAAGTTATTAAAGGTTGAAAAAACTCCTCTACAAACTTTGTTAAACATATTCAAGTATATTATACATTTTTATTTTATAATTATTAACATAATAATACCTATACTCCCTCTTAGATAATTGTTATTAAAATTTTTATAGAAGATGGTTGATTATCAAATTAAAATCATTTTGTATATATAATGAGGTGTACCGATACCACTTTTTGGAGGTCGAGATCCGAAATTCAATTGATATCGGCCGTACCGATCCGATATCATATCTAATTTTGTATTCTGTAAAGATACCAATGGTTTTAATTTTTAATATACTTTTTATTAGTATAACATTTATAATTTAACTATACCATAATGTCATTTAAATATATTATAATGATCAGTTATAGTTTATATTCAATTCAATTGCAATTCTAAAAGTATATAAAATATTTTTATTGTTAAATCACTTTTATATAACAAGTAATAACATTAATCTATATACATATTAATTAATAAACAATTATAATATGAAATTTGAAATAAATATTTAAAATAATATTTAACATAAATATAACGAAGATTTCTTTTTAAAAATACCAATATTTCCAATTTATCAGAGGTCAGCTTGCGACGATAGTAACTGTCAATATCACCAGCTTCACTAAAAACAGATTCTGAAGAGATTATCGCACACTTACAGAATGCGCAAAAAAATAACAATATGGTAGAATGTTTATTAATTAAATATTATTATTAAAAAAATATACATAAAAATGGATTTCGATTATATTTATAAAAATAAATGATTTTAGATATAACTATTTTTTTAAATTTTATAACATTTTATTTTTGTTAAAGAAGCCATTTTTATATTGGATCAAATTTTATAATATTGACCGATAATTGATATTTTAAAATGGGTGAAATATCGGTTTGATAAAAAATATCGGCACATCCTTAATATATTTTATATTTAATTATTTTAGCATCTTATTAGAGTAAATATTTAAGCTACAATTGATATATAATATTAGATAATTTTAAAAGGCTCTTAATAAAATAATTATAATAAGGTAGAATTTAACTTTATTAGTTACTTTTATTTATTTATGATATAAGTAAAATTATATTACAGTATTTATCTACAAAATTTAATCAATTTAAAATGCATTAAAGAAAATTGTTATATATTTAATAATTAAATAATATAATGTTGTACATTATTTTTATATTTTTTATATATAATTAATGATTTTGCAAGAAATATATTAAAAAAATTTGAAAAGAGATTTAAATGATATTTATATATATATGATATAAATGCAAGATTTAATAAGTCATACTATAAAATAAAACTAATTTAAAAAATACATATATATCACAAACAAGTAATGATAAATACTTATTAAATATAATGAATAAAATAAAACTAGTATGATTTTTTTTAGAGATTCCATTTAGCCATATACTCCGAATATAAGCTATATTTAAAACAACACAAAAAATAACCTGCAAATTCTAATAAATCATTTGATTTAATTTTTTTTCTTATTTGAACATTCAACTCCCATTAAATATACTATACTCTCCCTTCCCTGTTTAAGCTATTAATGGACAAAAATTAATATTAAAATCCCTGGTTATTATAATTAATTCATCAATAAATATTTTATTAATTATTGCAAATAATCATTATTATATGTGTAATACTATTTTCTTCACATATAAATAATAAAAATTGTATTTTATAAACTATTCTAATTTAATTGGTAATGATAATTTAAAAGTATCTTGTATTTAAGATACTCTAATTTAGTAAAAGATACAAGTATCTTTTATCTTGTATCTTTTTGATATTTTGAACAAGGTACTAGTATCTGTATCTAAGATTCATTTTTTTATAAAGAATCTGTATCTGTATCTAGATTCTTTTTCAGGAGGACCTGCCAACTCTGTTAACATCTATATTAATATACAGTGGGTCTTCTACAATATCCAGTTCAAAATATAGCTTAAAATTTTTATCATCTAATTCATTAGTTAGTTTTCAATGGTATATTAATTATAATAACAGTATGCAATAAAATAAGATATGTGATAATAATTTAAAAATTGTGTACCCAACGGGTTGATTTCAAGATAAGTAAAATAGAGATCAGAGTAAAATTTGAACAACGTCTCCAAAAATAGAGCCAACGTCCTGCAAAATCAAATAATATAAAATTTTATTCGGTCAAAAATCGTTTTTTGCATCTTTCTTTATATCCTTTTGGCCTCTTTTCTTTTTAAAATTCATTAACTAGCTTCCTTGCCCATTCATCCTACGCCTACATTACGTTTAGCTATGCCCCATTCCTGCATTAAATCAATTACTTCTAATTTCCTCACATATTAAACTTTTTTTACTATTCCTTCCTTTCCATACATTTCATGTTACTTAACTACATACAAGCAATCTTGCATATTAGATATTTTAAAAGATAAAATTTGAGAATCAAAGAGCAAATTAAATATCACAAATTTACGGTCTTTTTTTAGGGCTAATATCCTGGAGTAACTTTTTTTCGATCTCAGATGCGGTAGGAAAGGTTTCGATTGGAATATCCATTTTTAACGCCTTTAAAAAAATAAAAATTACATTATTTGAATGATTCATGATTTTGGTTTAAAATAAAACGGTGTTTTTATTAGAGCCTTATTAAAATACGCTCAAAGCTAGGAGTGTTCAAAATTATAATATTTTCTCATTATAAAGGATATCATTTGATTTATATAAAGCCCAATAAGAATTTAGATAGCTCACGTGATTGTGAAAACAGTTTTCTAACCATGAACAAGGCTTTTAAATCTAATTATTAATTTAACACTATTGTTTAAGATGAGTAACTTAACTACAAATTAAGAAGTTTCAAAATGAATCAAAAGATATTGTAAACATTTTGCTCTGACCTTAGAATCGACATCTCCAACATCTATACCTCCCCTGGGACAAAACATCAAATAATCGCCGTTTCTATGCGAACATATGCAAACGTACATTTCGTCCTCCTGAACAATAAAACATTCGCCATTAAAATTAAAATTAATATTCTTCTTCTTTTTTCTTTCACTCGTTCTTTCTTTCATTTTCCTTCCTTTTTAAATTCATTCATTATATCCTTAATGTACATACCATACTATATATAATACCTCTTTATGCGGGAAAAATTTTTCTATGATAAAATAGTTGCAATACCCTTTCGAATTACCGATCTGTGTTATAAAAAATATATTAAGTAGCATTTTATATAAAAATCTTTATAAATTGTCAATAATGAATGCTAATTTATAAGTAGAAATGTTAAAATTAGTGAAGGCCAACGCTACACAATCTAAAAGTTCTTCGTAAAAAAGGTCAGCTGCATTTGATGTATAAACTACATCAGCGATCACTATTTTTTAAATTTCTTTAAAGATTGTGGAGCCTGAACCGGTCCTACAAGAACCTTCATTTTTAAGGCGCTAAAAAATAGAAGCCATTCCTTTTTCAAAGTCCCAATATAATAAGATATTTGAAGCGAGCAGCACTACCAGTAAAGTAAACTTAAAAATCATAAAATATGTATTTATTAAATAATCTGATGTATTTTATAAAGAGGGACAGGAGAATTAATCCTCTCTAACAATCCGCATCAGTAAAGTAAACTCAAAAATAAAATCGACCTCTATTATTATTATAATTAGGGATGTACCGATATTTTTATCGGATCGGGCCGATATTTCATCTTTTTAAAAATATTGGTTTTAGACCGATATTATAAAATTTTGAGATCCAATTCGACAAAATGCCGTTTTAGTTTTAAAAAAATTTATTTCGAATTTCATAATAAATTTGTATATTACTTATTATTTAAATAGATTAATGTTACTCAATATAAGTTATTCATCAATAAAAATATTTTATATACTTTTAGATTCATGAATATATACTACAACTGATCATTATATTATATTTAAATGATTTGTGTTATGGTATAGTTAAATTATAAATGTTATACTGTTGAGTAGATGTATTCATTAAAAATAATGATTAGTATGTTTATAGAATACAAGAGATATTTTATCGGATCGGTAATAGGTAGATATCGATTTATTATCGATAATATAGGATCGGCTTCCAGAAAGTGGTATCGGTGCACCCTTAATTAAAATATATTACGAATTCATTGCATTATATGTAATTAAGAAAACATTGTGATTGACATAAATTCCAGTCCTAAATAAAAGCAATTTATTATTTCTTATCCTTTTTTTTTTAAAAAAATCCAATTCCTTCTTTTAAAAAATTTGTGTAATAAAAAAAAATTCTGATTTGAATGATGTAATTATTTGTCAAAAAATATTTTATCGAACATAATTATATTGAAAAATCAATATCCAAGATTGGAATTTGTTCAAAATACATTCGATTTTTTTTATTTATTAATAAACGAGAAAGGCATACATTTGTGACGATTATTTTATTCGGCTGATGACTATATTGATGTTTAGACCATTAGGCATATCGGAGAAGGGCGTTTCCCTCCTTTAATTTTTCTGTTCACCTAAATACCCCTCTTTAAGCGAATAAAAAGTTTCCTTTACACCCTTTCCCTTCAAAACTTTGTATCACTCAAAATAACAATATTTTAAAAAAATTATTAAAAAGTTTAAAAATGACTTATAATTCAAAATTTTTCGGAAATTATTAAAAAAGCTATAAATTTTTAAAAAATATTAACATAACATAGCCAAAGGTCTGCAATAAACCTACCATAAAATTTATATGGGAAAGCCAGTGTTCACCTCTTTAGCAAACTCATATCTACTCGTACTTTGAAAATAAGTTAATCCATTCTAACGTAACTTTAGAGCTATTAATGAAAAAATATTTTAAACTTTATTAGCTTTGAAGAAGGCTGTAATTTTAAGTTTTTATATTTATTTTGTGTAAAATTAGTAAAACTTAATTTTTTCTAGTGAGAATATCGATTTAATTTGTTCAATAAGATGAAGAATTTCCATAATAAATAAATATTTTAATAATTTAAACAAAATATTATTCGCTACTATAATATCATAAAATCTTGATTTTATAAAATGTAAAATAATTATTTTTTCATACTTCTTTTACTATATATATTCGAATGAATTAGCATTATGTTATAGTTAAATTTTGGGAAAATTTGCAAATATACGGTTATATATATATATATCACTCTTAAGGCAGTTTCTTTATTTAGTTAGGGTTGGTTAATATAATTTTTAAATTTGTCGATTCGGAGACATTTAAAACCCGTTTTATAATATTTATTGGCAGACCAAAATCTCGTTGTTTTGTTATTCCCAATGTGTTTAAATCTAGGCCCCATTCAGTCCAAGTCTGTCTTATTAAACGGTCCATTTTGACCAAAAAAATGATTGATATTTTGTATATATTAAATAGGTAAATTAAATATATTAAAATTTAAATAAATAAAATACTTAAAAAAATGAAATGTCTGAATGATAAACCTATATTAATTAAATTATATTTGCATACTTTGCTGCTTTTTATTACCAGTTGAATTCATTAATCAATTATACTATTGTTAGCTTCAAGGTATACTACTGTAACTTCTATCCTTTATATTTGGCAACCTTTTATTTCATTTTCTTAGTATATATCACAACCTCACGAATCAAAATTGTAGACTCAGTTCGATCTTTTTTTCGATGCAGAAATATTTTTGACCTAGCTCTGGAGCCTGCTCCAGATTTTTAAAATTTGGGGCATTCTATAGTCCAACACGAATTTTTAATTTGGTCATCGACAATTTTGGCTGTATTTTGGTAACCATTTCATAAGGAAACCGAAAATATGAGTTGATTAAATCATCCAATATGTGATAATGATCTATTATGCCCCGAAGAAGGCTGATTAACGTTTTTTTTAGACTGAACCAAGATTTTCTAAAAAAAAACGATCTTATATTATTTTATGATTGCAGGCAGCTATGAGATACTATTTATTTTAGAGCTCTGCAAATGTATTTTTGGCCCGAATCCGAAATATTTGTTTATTCAAGTTCTTTTGAAAGTTGAGGTAGCGAAAAATGTGATATATTATTAATATTTTGTTATTATTTTAAAAATAAGAAATGAATTTTAAAAAGTATACAACGAATCACATTCAGCCATAAACTTTATACTTAAATGTGATAATTAACTTTAGGGGAAGAAAAAAAAATATTAATATACACGTTTTTTATGAAATTTGTACAAATATAGATGGTAAATAATTCAATATAAATATCGGATTGGTGAAAAATTTGTGGATTAACACAGCCCTATTCATTTTACTTTGTTTATAAAATAAATTATTTCGACTTAAAAAATGATTGTGTTAGAAACTGATCTAGGCCTACAGAAAATCAAATATTGAGATATTCGCAAAGGAATTTGTGTGGCCCACCCAGGCTAAAAATATTGTGCAAAATATTCGGACTGGCCGAGAATTTTTTTGATTTTTTAAGTCTGGAATAATGCAAATTTGCCATTTTTCATTAAGAAAAAAAAATTACGGATGAAAAAAGTGTATCATATTTTTTGGATAGGTCTATGAATAATGACCAGATAGAATCAAAAAATCTTTTTACATTTCTTAATGAGCTAGCTTGGGTCAATTTCTAATATTCCTATACAATTCATAAAATTTAAATCAAATAATTTCATATTTTTTCAGGCATAAAATTTTCCAAGTTTCTTCTCTTAGAAAAGTGTGTTTTAGTAAACATAAAAAATGATTATATGCAAGTTGAAAAAAAATAAAATGTTTGATTGATAAGTAACTTTAATTATTTTATTTTTTTTTAAAAATTTAATTATAAATATTTGCAAATTCTAAAATTAGCAAATAAATTTAAAAATTTTTAATTATTACTTGTCAATTTTTTTGAATTTCATATTTGTAAATTTTGAATTGAATTGAATAACAAAATTTTTGACAAGCCTAGATGGATGGTCAAAATCTAATATTAGTCCATCCCTCCAAGTTAGTACTATTAATAGCGTAACCCATATTTTATCTTGCATTTGAAGGGCACATATTAATTTCATTGTTAAGAAAAATGCAAGATAGTAATCACTGATCACCATTTTCAATTATCAAGCTCAAGAAATATATCAAAACTAAGTCTTTTCTCAAATTAAGCCAAAAATTTATTAGAGGAATACTCTTAAAACTCAGATAAGTTCAACTTAAACAGTGTTTTATCAACAATATGTACAGATAATTATATTTGTATAATATTTTCTTGAGTTCAACAATTAGTAAAAAAAATAGTTTTTTATATTTTGTAAAATCATAAATCAAATTTATTGTCTAGTTTCTTATATTTTTAAAAAATTTTCTTTTTATATATTTAATTGTAGAAAATAAAGTATGATTAATATAAATACTTGTAGCTCTTTGCTTGTAAGGTCTAAAATCCAATCACACGCATCTTTATAATTTGTATCAAGCTTAATCAATCCTAATTTTCCTCTTCTCTTGATCATTTGATCAGGTTTCACAACTAACCTCTATAAATTTAATTAATTTGCATTTTATTTATAAATATATTGCAAATTTTTTATAGTAAGATTTGTTAATTACAAATTAATAGTATATTAAATATAATTTTGATTTTGTTTTTTACTACATATCTTCAATATGATAAAAATGGTCCATTATAGAATCTTAGACAAATGAATAAATTTTTTATTAATCAGTAGTATAAATGAATTATCATAAGAAAAATAGAATTTATACACTTTACTATGTAACCTAAGACACTCAAATATAGATTGAAGATAAACAAATAATTATACTTCTGTTAATAACCATGGTTGATTTTTGGCCAGAGCATTGAAATCACATTCGGGAGTAGATATTGATGCAATTAAATTATGATCAGGAGTATTATTAGTAAGAACATATTTGTTAAGTAACTCTTTTCCTTTGGCTTCAAATATAACTCTGGAAGACATTTGTAATCAGGAAATCTAAATATTCTTATAATTATTATGAAAATATAACTATTTTATCATATAAATATATTTTTTTTAAACTATTTCTTAATTGACATTTTATCTAATATTAAATAATATAAAGAATAAGATTTATAACTTAAACTCAATATCAGTCTAACTAATAATTTGATTAAAATTTCTTTATATACTTTCTTTTACAAAGGATAATAATAAATATTAATTAATTTTAACATCTTTTGCTTTACTTTATATAGAATGGTAATGAAAATGATAGTAAATAATATTTGCTAAACGCAAGCAAAATTCAATTCGCTTTTAAAAATTTAAATAGCGTGATTTATCACCAAACAAACAACTTTTTAGAAAATAATCTAAAATAAAATTTTCCTGAAATAAATAAATTTAAATTGTATAAAATATTTTTGTATTTTAGCATATATACTTATTTATCATTTTTTTAAAAAAATGCCATATGTTGAAATATGATTAATTCAAAATAAATATTCTGAAATTTTCATTAATAACATTAAATACAATCTCTTATATTTTATTATTTATTCATATTCATTAAATTACAGAGGATTAAAAAATATATATTAAAATGGATATATTAAAAATTAAATATAAAAAAAATAAATATATAATATATATAATCTATGAAGACATTAAAAAGGACTATAAAAAATATATATATTTTAAAAAAAAGGGGGGGGTATATATCATCCAAGAGAAGAGTGAATACTTAAAAAATTAGACCGGCAAATTTCCAGGGAAATCTACTGGCGAAGGTAAAATTTTTTATTGGGGTCCCCTGAGATCTGTCTCATTTTTTTTTCCTATGATTTTAATGAAATTGGCATACATCTATTTTTATTATTATATTGAAGCATTATAGAAAATAAAATCACATTATGTGCAAAAAAAAATAAATTATATAAAATATTTGTATAAAAATCTATTTAAAAAATTTTTTTGTATTTTATACTTCTATTTTATCAAGCTTCTAGTTTACTATTAGGATAATAATTGATTTTTTTTTATTAGTATAACCCTATATAATTATTGTAAGTAATTAAAATTTCTCTTTACTTCTTTGTAGAGGTCAAGTTAGGGATGTAATTGAGATTTATCAGAGGAAAGGTAGGTGGGGGAAGGGAGGGGAGGGGAAAGTTTTAATTGTCTTCAACTATGCTGAATTGGCTTATTGATTAAAAGCCCTACTAAAATATATGTTAATATTTTGTCATTTGTTAGTATCTTTAACCAGTATAGTTCCGAGTATAAAGAAATAAAAATATTACCAACAAAATTTGGCAAACCTAATGATGAAAAATTGATCGAAAATACTTATTCTGCAAGTTTTATCAATATTTAATACTTATTTAGTATATAATTTTAATAATAGTAAAAATGAAAAATTATTAGGCGGATGTAACAATTTTTAATTTGCCAGATAAATTTTATTTCACTTAAAATCCAAGATTTACATAATGATTATTTTCATATCTAGCATTTTAGTGACTAACTTATTAATACTTCTTCTCTTATACAACCAAACTATATTTTTAAAACTTGACATATGTGTAGCAATAATTAGTTGCTAAGATTGGCATTATGCCAGAAAATAATAATAGAAGTACTGAATATCTGTTCGATTGCGACCACCTTTATTGCCTAATTGTAAGTTATTAGTTTATCAATCTGGTTGCCCGTAACAGAAATCGAATTGTAACCAAAATAAAGCTAAACAAAACATGTATATAAATTGATTTTTTCAACAAATTTTACAGATATATTATTTCATCCTCTTAAGCTATTATTGGTCTATTATTTTTAATTATAGTAGAAGAAGTACTAGTGGGATAAAATTAAGTAAATTATCTTTGTGTTCATCATAATTTTAAAATGAATATAGGAAACAGTATTTGGTTTCTTTTTTTAAAAAGAGATATTAGGAAAAATAGGATGTAAAAGTAATTAGTTCTAAGATAAATTCCCAAGATATCATTAACATGTTTTTATGGTGAAGATATGTATGATGACAAATTTCAAAATTCTTGAAATAAATATGTACCTTGAAACATCTTAACAATTTAGAAACGTTAAAACCATTTATATATTATAATATACTACTGCCATCCTCGACATTTATTGAAACAGCAAAGGTAATCTTGCAGATAAACGATACAAGAAGTTTGATAAACTTAAATTTTAAATGAAAATTTTCATTTTAATTACTTAAATTAAGTTGCAAAACTGTTTATAAAATTCTAAACAATATTTAACATAAAATTTATGCCATACTTCATAGTAAGCACAGCACCCTTTTTACTGTAAAAAACAGCAGAGCTAAACTGGAACTCTCTCATTCCCATCGGGCAAAAAATTGGTGGCGAGAACTTCTACCCATTTTTGTTGCAGGCTACAGTTATCTGAATGCGCAAGAGGCAAAGCCGATTTCATGAAACCCTATGGGAAATATGATAACAGAAAAAATCTGTGTCCAATAAAATAAAATAAAATTAGTTTTAGTTAGGGTGGTGGGAAGAGGGGGGGGGTGGATTTGACTAGGTCATTTTTAGTTTCATTAGCATTGAGGTAGAAAGGAGAACAATAAAAATTGATTAAATTATAGTACCAATATGAAAACGATCACTAATCAATTTATTAACTAAAACTTATATTCATATTTTTAAGATTCAATATACCCATAAAATTAAAAACAAATTAGATGGAAAAGACAAAACAAAATTTATTTTGTTGTCATTATTTTAAAAGCTCAGTTTTTATGATTTTTTTTCGAGTATACTCTATTTGTTCAATATATTTGAAAGTTTTGAAGGTTCAGTAAATTTTCTAGTTTCGGTTATACAAAGTTTTTATATAATTATATATACTTATTTATAATTTGTTTTTGGCATATTATATAATAATTTTCTAAATATGTAATATCATTCAAATTATACTTATACTATAAAACAAATTACTAAATAACTATAGTAACTAGTTACAATGGTTTTAACACCAACACTAATATTTCAAGGGTAGTAGTGTTCTACTAATTGGGTCGGGCACTGGTAAAAATTATTTTTTCGAGGTAAATTATAGGATGGGGTGGGGGTATGTTGGTTTGTTATCTGTAAAAAAAACACACTGACCGGCTAAATTCACTGCATACACAATGGCTATTATAGGATCCACTTTATTTCCCGATTGTTCTCTTTTGTGAAAAATTTCGATTATTCCTTTATTTTCCTAAATTATAAAAATAGAACATTGTCTTAAAATATTTAACGACACTATTCACATTTTCGGGATCATTTATATGATCTAAATCAATTTTTTCAACACCCTACAGCAGCGTCTACATGACAGGATTTTCACTGGATGCAAACCCCCTTCAAAAACCTTTACCTTTCCCCACCCCCTAAAAAATTACGCCATCTTTGGCGGCGATATTTCCCCATTATTATTCTTACCTTTTTAATTATAATGATATTCTTTCAGAGAATTTATAAAGGATAACTTAAATTAATCTATCTCTACTACCAACTATCGATATTTTGTGAATAGCAGAAAGTTTTATTCGGAAAACAATGTGTATCATTGTCTGCAATATATAGATTTGGTCGATGAATTGTATTAGAGTTCTATAATTAAATTATTAATTTTTACGGCAATAAATTTTGTCCTATTTCAACTCAAAATTCAATAGATAACACCCCCAAAAATTTATCCTACCCCCATTAAAGCCGCCTACCCTCTACCCCCCTCAAAAAAATAGGATGCAAACTGTTCCCTACCCCTCCCGCTCATGTAGACGCTGCCCTACAGTCTTTTCCCTTTATTAGATTAGAATATTTGTTCTATTCATTTAATTATATTGCAAATACTTCTTAATATAACGAGCAATAGGGTTTATTTAAAAATATATTTTTCCCCTATTACCTTTCAAATGGTTTAAAGAATTATGAATATTATGAACTTTTATTTTACTTCATCATATATGTATATTTCTATGCTAATTTGAAAATTTGGATGATGAATGCTTAATATAATATTTAATTATATTAATTATTATATATTTTTTTATGAAACCTAAAAATTTATAAGTATATAAAGTATATATATACATGTCATATTGGGATATGAAAATCATGGGGGTAAGTTAATCTCTCAGTTTTAAATCATTTACTGAGAAAGATTTTTAAATTCCAAAAATCTAATTCGACAGGAAAGTATTTCAGCATATATAGGGTACTCACACTGTAAATTTCAGACAATTTTACCATGAACCTTTGAAAGTCGTATTTTATATTGATTTTTATATGAATTTTTTATATAAATAAATAAATAAGAAACCTTTATGGGAAAATGGTCTAAAATCAATAGGGTAGGTATTCTACACATGGTGGAATATATTTTCGGTTAAATCGAATTTTAAAAGTACTCTTGGTAAGTGATTTAAAATCGAGGGATTCTAAATCCCCATGGATTCCATATCTACGACATATATATATTATAATAGAATAAAAAAATTGCTTGAAATTTAAATATATAATTTTATTTAAAAAAAACGTCATAAAATATAATATCAAAAAATCATATTTTATTTAAAAATAATTTAGTTTTTCATATTTTTTAATGATTATCAAATATATTTCGTAGCCATAATAGTCTACCCTATACTTGCTCTCAAATATCTTTCATAGCCATGTGAATATACCCTATACTAGTACGCCTTAAAAAATTCTGTATAAACTTGCAAAAAATTCTGAATTTCTTTTAAAACAAAGTTAACATTTTTAACACATTATAGTATTTTAAAAAATGATTCCAAAAGATTTATACGAAAATGGTATATATAACAATTAATGGCATTATTAAAGAAATAATAATTTCCTGTTAAAAAAACCACGAATGGCACAAAGGTTATATTTCTCAATATCATAATAATAAACTAAAAGATAAGCATTTAATATATTTTATATAGCTTTCTCTATGGGTAACATATCGTCGCACGAGAATTAGGTAATCCTATATTCATTTTTTGTCAAAAATGACTTTTTTACATAAATCATAATTATGCCATTCTATTTACATTAAAAAAAACTATAATTAAATCTTATACTAGGCTAACCATCATTTTGAAAACAATTAAAACTTAATTTTTAAAATTCTCTCCTGTAGAATTATAAAAAGTGGAGATAGAATATTCTAATTTTCAGGCGACGAAATGTATTTTCTTTTTAACCTATTTGGTCATAGATCAGACCCGACCCAATGGGTCTCATGAGCCGACCCAACGGCTCGGTGCAGGGTCG